ATATTTTTGAAATAAATGGTAATAAGTACTTAATATTAATAGACTATTTTTCAAAGTATATAGAGCTTGCATTATTAACGTCAGATTCAAATTCAAAGACAGTCATAACTCACTTAAAATCTATTTTTGCCCGTCACGGAATCCCAGAAGTTATGCATTCAGACAATGGACCTCCTTTTAACAGTAAAGAATTTAAAAATTTTATTACAACATGGGGAATAGAACACACAACTTCCAGTCCATACCTAAGCAGATCTAATGGAATGATAGAAAGGGCAATAGGTACTATTAAAACCCTACTAAAGAAATGCAAAGCAGATAATACAGACCCTTATTTAGCACTTTTAATGTATAGGAATACACCAAAACAGACCGGTTATTCTCCATCACAGTTATGTATGTCAAGACAGTTGCGTACAAAACTGCCTACATCAGAACATTCACTCACACCTTGCACTGTTGATATCAGAAGCTTAAAGGAAAACATTAAAAAACTACAATTCAAATCATCACTTTATTACAATAAGGATTCAAAGTCACTATCAGCACTCAAACATGATGACAAAATTTACTTTAAGCACAAACCACAAGATACTTGGATTCCGGGTGTAGTATCACAAAAAGATGTTCATCCACGCAGTTACATTATCAAATCACCTCAAGGCATCTTCCGTAGAAGCCGTGAACACATTTTAAAGCCTTCTACTTCCAACTCAACCGATTCCATGACTGATACTGTACCTGAAACTGAAAGTCAAATTGGCACACAGGATAACACTACTAACTCTAAGCCTAGTACGAATAATACACAAATAACAACCCGTTCAGGGCGTGTAATTAAAAAGCCAAAGCGTTATTGTTAATGTTGTCTTGTGTAATTATCCAGTAATTTTGTTATAATTAAGCTAATAGATATGTGTCAATGTCAGAACTGTCTATTGTCATGTTGACAGTCATATAGTGTATTTTGATATCCATAGATTCTTGTTTATTTTTTTTTATTTTTATTACAGGCAAGAGAAAAGTAAATATAGATTTGTAAAAGTTTTCATGGCTTGAAGAAAACATTACATATTGGTTTTAATTATAGAAAAAAAAATTAATTAATGATAGCCATGGAATCTTGTAGGTAATATGTAAAAATTCATTTTAATTATTATAATACATTTAAGATGTTAAAGTTAATCTTTTTTATAAAAAAAAAAAGGGAGATGTTAGGTAGTACAACACTACTATCGTCTCTCGATACTTGTCAGTGGTACGTCACTACACTTAGACTTAGCTATGGCGGACATGCGTATTGCATTGTAATATAACTTATGAAAATAAAGACATACTTACTGGCTATGGTGGACTTCATCATTTAACCTGAAAACTCAACACACTGCTGGACATAGGCCTCTCCTTAGAAAGGAGGTTTTGGCCTACTATACCACGCTGGCCAGACGGGTTGGTATAGGGTTTGTTTCAAGTTTTCCTTCTCTTTGCAGTGCTGTTGTCCTGCTTAGTTTGCTCCCTTAGTCGGTTCTTACGACACCCACGGGATGAATTGGGGTGGTGACAATTTGTATTCTTAATCCGTCACCACACAGAATATCTGCACTGGTCCGCTAAAATTATAAATATGTAGATACATGTATGAACGATTCACCTGACTGCAATAAATCGAAAATTTAAACCAATAAGAAATCGTTTCATTTCTTTGATTTTTTTTTGTAAAGAAATAACACTAAAGTAATTGTATTTTATTTTGGGGTGTATAGAGCTTAGACTTGAATGCATCAAAATATTTAAAGCAACAAGTCATCTACAATAAGTTAAAATAGACCGAATTGTAGAAGAATACAGTTGTAAATGCATTAACATTAACTTTTAGAATGCATCAACATTGCATCGCCCAACAGTCGTATACCTCGTAAGAGTAGGTAATATTGTTCTGTGGTCTATACCGAGAACCGAGAATTATCTATAGGTACCTATGTACCTACCGTTAAGCGTTGAGCCCGTGACTGTTGATTTCTGTTAAAAACGAACAGTTGTTGAATGATATTTTGATATAATAACGGTAATTAAATTTATCGAGTGAAAGTGATACATTTTTATAGATAAAATTATTGGTCAGATAATATTTGTCAATCAAGAATCGCTGATAATACATCCTTCGCTAGAACGCAGGAGGGGAGGGGCGAAGGGATACTTTATTGTTTGCAATTTGCATCTAGTGCACTAAACTTGACCCTTAGGCAGATAATATACGTGTTGTAAAGTACGTGTGCGCTTCCGCTTTCTATTTTTGCAAATATTTATCGTATTCTTGAGAGTTCTTCAATATGTGTGTACCTAATTACTAATAATGGGCATTAATGCTAATTCGATTCAATTTAAGTAATTGTCAATTCTTGTCTTAGGATATTAATTACTAATAATATTATATATTGAAATTTTGTTCAGGGTGAACAAATTAAAAACGATCATAACTTGTAGGTAGGTATATCACTTATTACTAATTTTATATAAATAATTTATTTTATTATAATTTAACTCACCGCGATTTTGTGATCAAATATTTTATTTTCTCCAACATTATTACAGAAATATTGCAATACAGAGTTTGTTCGCGATATGCTAGCCTAAGTCGATTCATCACTTAAAAAAATCCCCATCTATTCACAAAATACCTATTTACAACGCATACGTTACACTCTTCAAAACTTAAATTACCTATACCTACCCTAAAATTAAACTTCAAATAACAAATACTACGCAAGTACCAATTCTATGAACAACTATAAACAATTCACCTAAACATTACGAGAAAACAAAAGCATTCAAAACAATACCTAATCTCCCGGCTGATTACTAATTATGCAATAAACAATCCTAAATAAAAATTATTTAAAAAACATGTAGTTTTTTGTAACACTTATGTACATATCCGTAGTAAACTTACAAATAATATCCTACATATTTTAAAAGCCAGCACAATGTACTGGGTGATCGCTTTTTTGTAACCACCTAAACATGGTCGGATTACCACGGACTTGCACCTTCTAATGACTTTTATTTAATTATCTCGTAAATTATTATATGTACGACGCTGAAATTCTACAGGTAGACAACTGAACTAAACAACTAATTATTGGCATAACATTCAGTTTATATATCCACACACAGGTTTATCGGTGGCCAAAAAAGGCCGCACACATTGTGATCGTGAACGTGGAGAGCTACATTTCATCATAACTTTTTAGTCACTTACAGTATTCTTACGAAAATTCGTATACATTTGAAGGTAGTTACAAGCAATAGAATAACGTTTGAAGTAAGTCTTTAGAGGTCTTATTTAAAGTGTTAGGACGTATTGAAGTGTTTTCATACTTACCTAAATAATTTTTAAACGGTCCATTATTTTTGTTATTTTATTGTCGAACAAATTAAAACTAACCCTTAAGAAGTTATGTACAAAAGATGGTTACAATCCGCTTACCCGTTTCAGAGATCCAGCAAACCCACAAACGTTACTCCAGCAGGATTTTGAATAACTTCGCAGCCGAAGAAAATACAAATACCAAATAAGTTGTAACATTTACCTAGTCCAGATAACTAATTATCTAGCTAAAATTTATTTCAATATTACAATTAAAAAAGAAAATGTCTGGCTGCGGTAACGTTTCAAACGTTACTCCAGCAGGAAATGTTTTTTTGAAATAACTAAAAAAGTTTAAGTGAAACAAATTTAAAAATGTGCCTAACAATTACAGAAGGAGAGCAACTAATTATCTATAAAGTTTAAATGACCATTTTCGACATTATTTTGCTGGAGTAACGCACACGATCAATTACGTGGAAATATGAACTATTTAATAAAGCCTTTGAAATAATAATATCATTGGAGATGTGGGTAACCCACTTTAGCTTGTTCAGCATGTTTTGCGCAGCATGAAGACTGTTGCAGCTGCCGCGCTACATTCTACCCGGCATATCAAGCACCTATTTCGCTTGGCACCGACTTCAAACAGAATAGAAGAGACTTTTGCTATTATAATGTTACCTGTTATATTGCCATAAGACAAGGTAGGTATACTATATCTATCGGTGCCTAACCGCCAAACGATTTTATCCGCAAATCAGAGGCTGTTGACTACGGAAAGTTTAGAACCTCGTCACACGCAAGGGGTAATGCAAGATCAAGACTTGCAATAGAGGTCGAAGAACAAATCTTCGAATTTTTTGAACGAGATTCTCAAGCAAGCACACGGGCCCGCAGCGTAACGCTTCCGCTTTAAGCCAATACGCAGTATGGAAGCTGATAAACACCGCTAGCTTACACCCTTACCCTTATCAAAAAGTCCAAGACTTACAAGAAACAGACGCCTTACCTCGTCGACAATTCTGCGAGTGGCTAATCGCACACCCGGTGCCAATATTTTGTTGACAGACGAGGCTTTTTTACTAGTGTGGGTTTGTACAACCAAGATAACGAACATTGGTGCTCATTTCACAACCCACACGTCGTTAGACAAGATCTACGACTACATTTTGAACATTTATTAAAATACATGTCAAACAGTAGTGGTAAGTTAACCTCCAATTGCGTTTTTTATTAAGTATTGTATATATCACAAGACTTATGTATTTTCTATTAATTTCAAACATACCCTTAAATTAAGTATCAATGAAATTTAGCGAAGTTTGCGGTACCATTGAAACCTTGCTCGCTTATCGATGGCAGTGTGTCTACAAGTTGCGAGTTCTAGAGACAACTTTCTGATGCTAATTACTTAATATTTTTGTACCATGATACTCAACTAAAATTTGGGTTTCTCATAAATTTTACTAGATTCTTCTGTGTTAATATGAACGGCAAATTTAAAGTAACCTGTATAAAGTTGTTTCTGCTTTAAAAGTATGAAACATCAAACGGCAGTTCTTTGATTAATTTGAAGTAACAGTAAAGGTATTTTGAATTAATAACAACAATACTAAATTAAATCCTCAGTTTATTCATCAATTGTGAGTGCACCTGAGTTGATGTCATTGATGAGGTCATGTGGGGCTCTGCCTTCGACAGTGCACCCTACTGACTGTGCAGTACCGAGGATCTCCTTCACTGTGCCAGATAAATAACGCGCCATTGAACGGGGCCTCATGGTTTTGGCGATGCTTATCACATCTTCAAGAGTGATGTTACCATTGTGCTTAACTGTAAATGAAGAAAATAAAGTTATATAAAATTTGCATTATCAATAAAACTATTTCAAAATAACAAGACATATCTAAACAGGTCCAATAATTTTCTACTTCTTTCTTTTAAAAAAAACCTTTATCATCCTTACTTTAAAGCTGTTTTCTGGCAAATTTATTACTTAAAAGTTAACATGCAAAACTGGACTTTTATTAGACTAAATAAATATTTATTTATTTTTACTTAAAAGTTAACATGCAAAACTGGACTTTTATTAGACTGAAATATTCTAGGCGGATGTAACCTAACCTAACTACTAATTATGTGATAGGCCCTAAACTGAAGACACATATTTAACACATTCTTTTACTTATTACTATTACTTTGGCTTCCTTTTTGAAAAATCATTTTTCTCATACCATTAAACACTACTAAAAATTTCAAATATTTATACTCACTGTTCTTCTGCTTCTTACGATCACGTGGAGGTTCCTTGAGAGCTCTGATTATGAGTGCAGCAGCAGATGGCACCACTGAAATCTGGGCCTGCCTATTCTGTACAATCAGCTGCACGGTGATCTTGAGACCCTTCCAGTCACTGGTGGCTTTGGCAATGTCATCACCAACCTTCTTGGGGGACTGTATGCAGAAAATTTATTAGTAAAAATAAAATTACTGTTACCAAAATAGTTGATTTTGAGCCTCATAAATCTAATTGGAATCATTGGTGTACTTTCACAATGTGTCTGGTATCTCAAATGTCATTTATCACATGTCTGATTTTTTTTTTTCAAAATATGATGCAACATAAAATGAAGCAGACTAGTTTACTTTACATCACAATATTTAATTTTCTTTTCAAATAGTGACAATGACTGTAACTTAAATTTTATTAGCCAAATGATCCACTTACTTATATTAACATTATAATTGATATCATGTATACTCACCAAAAACAAACTTAAAAGAGAACTTACAAAAACGCCTGAGGTTAACTTAACTAGCATGACAGTCACATTGCCTGGTCCGCGACTCCTTATTGGGCATTCGGAGTAGCCGCGACAGGGAAATAATCCTGAGTCGCGGGTTCCTTCCATCCGCCACCCGGAAGGACGCGCCTGGTAGGGTGGCACCCCCCAGGATGATTACAAAAGAGACAACTAGACTAATTCGCATTGCAGAGCCCAACAAACTTTACCCACCCAGACAAAACAATAAACTCAATTCAAATTTGAACGAACATGTGACACTATATTTACCGGATATAACTAGGATAAGGTGGTTCTAATTGTCTCTTGATTCAATATGAACTAGAATTAACTAGTTGGTTTTAGGACTGCCATGCCAAAGATTGAGGTTAGAAAATTGACAATGTAAAATTGAACTTACAAGACCCAGAGGACCGATTTTAGGAGCCAAGGATGATGTGGCACCAACTTCTCCACCCACACATCGCAAGTTTACTGAAAAACACCAAATACATCACCATAAACACCAATTATTCTTGTCACTCCTTAGGTAGTGAAATAAACACTGTTGTTGACTCTTACCGATTTTAATTTCATTAGGATCGAATTTAGGCGGCATTGTACAAGTATATTCTTATACTTTTAAACGTTTTTAAGCTTATTCCAAGATGATTAACTTGGATTAAAAGGCGAACCGCTGCCCGAACGTTCAACAACGTAGACAGCGCACCGGAAAAAGGCTTTGACAGTAGTATAATTGCCTTAGTTGAACTTTTTTATTCCAATTTCTCAAAGACTTTGAGACTAAGTCTTTAGGCATTTTCACCCGACAATAGTTGATATTTCGTATTTCTAACTTGTACTTGACAAGTTGATGCTAATTGATACGTCTATATTTGCAATTTATCTTTTAGCATGAGTAGCTTACTCAATTTTCAATTTAATAAATAAATGAAAAAATCCCATCTCTTCACTCACCTCCTCTTAGGTCATGCGCGCAGTTTTGTCACTATCACGTTACGTCTCCAACGTCTGCGTTACGTGGAGTACATGCACAAAGAGCAAGTGACTAAACTTATTTGAAATTTAAGGGCCTGTTCCCATTGATACATATCATTTCGCTCAAAAGATATCTATCACTCATCTAGCTCACTAGCTCATTTAGCTCACTAACTCATTTAGCTCACTAGCTCATTGATCCGATTCAATTGATTGGTCTCTCAATTAGATCTTCTTCATCTAGATCGTTTAGATCAGTATACTCGTATATCACTCACTTTAAGCCTCTCTCGCCATACAAACCTTTCTTTATTTTCATATTAACCTAAATTCAGTTTTTGAAACTACATTCTTAACCTATTTTTTTTTAAATAAAATTTTATTCATTTTGATAAGATTACATAATTATTAACACCCTTTTATATAATAATTAAAAATAAGAAATTATTTCTTGTACTTTTTTTTAGGTTGTATAATAGAAATCATACATCATTTGATTTTCCTTGTACTTGGCAGGCTTAATTCTTAAGTAATATTAAACTTTGACCCTATAGAAATAATGTACATTTTGCATAAAGAAACTTGCGTGAACTCAACCATCATCTATCTCACTCATTTATCTTTAGTCTCACTCGCTCATGATACAAAGATCGGCGTCGTTGAGCTAGTGATCTAATGATCTAGTGAGCTAGTACTGAGTTACTGATATATTCGGAGCTAGTGTGAGTGAGTGATACATTTTATCGTCGTGAATGATATATATCATTTATATCTCTCACTCAGGAGCTACACAACTCTAGTATATAGTACTATCCGTAGAGGAGGCAAAAAAACTGTGATTTGATGCAAATTGAACGCGATACGGTGTCAATTTATTTCCGTGCAAATATTTTGTATAGTATGAGGTACATATGGCTTTGGCCGTATTACGAAATAAAACTCACGCGTTTCGCTCTGTTGTACAATGGCGCTCTCATGTCATGTCAATCCTTTCGTGGATCTCAACTAAATGACCTAAATGGGTGAATTCAATGTTCGTAACATCTTTTGATGAGTCTGGTATGACGTCGTAGTATTATATAAATTAAAATAACAGTTCAGTTATCCACTTAAAAGGGCGTATCAGCCGAGGATTGTATTAAACTAAAAACCGTTTGAAATTCAATTCACAGTGCGTACTAAGTGTATTTCCGATCGCGGAAATGAAATATCGCTGTGTGATTATTCAATTTACTCTGTGGCTGTGTGGACAGGTCCTAAGCGTCATTTGGCTATAAAAAAACCTACTAGGGTGAGGACAGTTTTCTCACGAACCTGTCGGCGGACAAAACTATCACCCAGTTGTCACGTCGCTATGTGCCCTTCGTGACCTTCATAAAAACTCACAGTATGGACTAGAGTGACAAAACGGTCACGGTGACAAAAGTCACCCGTGCGAGCAGCCTCTTAATCTTTTCCCATTTCATTAAACTAAAAAAAAATAACAAATTTTTTTAGACATATGTTAGACATATGACTGGCCTGTTGGTCTAGTCTTAGTGACCCTGACTGCTACGCCAGAGGTCGTGTGTTTGATTCCCACCCAGGACAAATAATTGTGTGATGAGCACGGTCATTTGTTCTGTCTGTATGTATGTATTTATTTTTTAAATATAGTCACCATACCATACCATACCAGTCTGGTTACCATAGGCACTGCCTAGTTTGGGGTGTCTGATCCGTAAGTAGGCAGAGCCTATGGTAACCGGTAACCTGTGGCAGTGTGAGATATGTGTGACTTTTTAAATTAAAATATATTCAATTATTATATTACGAAGACCAAGATAGACTTATGTTTCAACTTTAAACTTCATCCACTCATTCACTTCATTCACTTATCAATAAGTTTTAGATTCATCATGTTTTTGATTACCTTCTGATCAGCTCTGCTTAGTTTGAAACTAGATGGCGTTGTGTATTTGATGTCGGTAAATTTTATTGTTATTATTTTTGCTACCATGGTCCTAGGTTTGACAACCATATGAAAGAAATAGGCTGCAGATGTTGGACACTTTTTTCTTTTCTGACATAATTTTTTGATTTTCATTTTGTCTTTCATAGACCAATTTCATTTCGAAGAGCTAATTTACACATTTGTTTCTTCCTCTATTGTCCATCTAATCTAAGAGGTACCGTTTGACAGTTCAGACAGATTGAATTTTGACTACCGAATGGCGTAGTGGTTTGTGTAACGGACTGCTATTCCAAAAGGTCACGGGTTCGATTCCCGCTCAAGTCAAACATTTGTGTGCATGAACATTTAATGTTTGATTTGGTCTGGGTGTTTCTATGTATAATAAGTATGTATTTACAAAAGAAAAAAGTATGTATGTATTTATATCACTTGTCTAGTACCCACAGTACAAGCTCTGCTTTGTTTGGGACTAGATGGCGTTGTGTGAATGTGGTACAATATTATTTATTTTTTGATTAAATAGGGAGTGGGTCAAAGATCCGATTCTTAAGAGATTTCGATATCATTTCTTTGTATTTACAAATCTATTACAGTTTTACCGATTTATGTATGTTACTCTAAAAGCCCGAATATTCGTATACCTTAGGTTTATTATTTAAATATCAATGTGTGTAAGTAAATTACATAATTTTATAAGAGAAATAATTTTTAGGGCTTTTCAGTCCGAACCTAACTTAACCAGATTTGAATAAATAAAGACACGAGTCATTTTGCCTACAAAGATTGATTTCAAATTATATTTAAATACATATTTTTAATTACACTTGTGATCAGCTTCATTTATAGATGCCAAAAGACACGTGTTTAATGAAACATCTGTAAGGGAGTTAATTGCTTGCAACTGTTTTGTACTATATCAATGTTCTAGAAAATTGTTTTACTTATTTGAAACCTTAAATATACTAAATTTTGAACATAATTCTAAAAGTGTCTATTCATTGATAACACAGGCCAACAAAATTTTTAAGCAGAAACCAGAGTAGGATTTTGGTGCGATCAATCCAATTCCGGCCACAGAATTGCTCTATCACGTCAGATTTTCAAGATATTCTTACCTAAAAGTGCAAAACAAGCCCATTGTTGCCCATTTTTGAAGTTATGTAACTCTTCAAATTATATTATACCTAAAAAAGGACACAGGGTATCTGAAAAAAAAAAAAAAAAATTATGTTAGAGGGGGCAGACGATCAGACCAGACTACCTCATGGGGAGTGGCCTTTAGGAAGGAGTACGCTCTTTTCTTGAAGGTTTAAAGGTCGTATCGGTCCGGAAATACCGCAGACGACGACCCGTTCCACAGATTGGTGGTGCGGGGCAAAAAGTGTCTCGTTTAGTCATTAAGAATGATGTATCTTCTGATGAATTGCTTTATAATTCCTTGGTTTTACGGAAAAGTTTATTATAATTGTGTGAGTTCGCCATTACAAATTTGTTTTGGCTTAAAAAGTATAAAACGGTACCTCTTAGATTTTTTGTTTTTTAATTAACGTCAATCGTTACCACAGAGAATACGGGGTATAGCTACCTGTAAGTGGAAGTGATACAGGCAACGAGAGAGATGAATGCCCTATATTTCCCTCTGTCTCTGTTCAGCTAAGCTGCGGTTGGCTACTTATTAACCCCTCATATTCCCCAACCACAGAACTCGGCTAGAAAGAAATAGAGGGACTAAGTATTGTCCAACTCTCTCTTTGCCTATATTGCAAGATTAGCGCTCTTGTTCCCTCTAGGTTATATCTATATGATCGTTACCCTTATTTGATTTGTTTTCAATCGGCAATCTTACTTTTTCTCTGTCCATTGTCTATGGCTGTGATATGGTTTACAATGCTATCTCAACTTGATCCTAGTAATATTTATTCCAAATTTCTCTGCGACGTTACGACTCATAGATTGGTAGGATTTATTTCAAGCCATAAATGATAAGTATGATATGAGGTTGTATTCGTTAGTCGTTACATTATTCCACTATTTGTTGGACCACATAACTATGATCATTCATGAAAAAGTAAAAATAAAACAGTGGCAATCCGTTTACACGAGAGATATCTCTCGTGTTAACGGGGTGAATATATATGTAGATACTCATATACAGAGGTGTCAGTGGAGTTCAACGGTTTTTCCCATCTCAAAAAATATTTTCTTTTGTTTGTTGTTCAAAAGTGCCCAACGCGCCTAACGAAGGTTTTAAAACATTTTTGAAAGTGAGTTAGTTGTAATGTAAATCAGTTCATAAATAAAGCCATCGAACTGTTTATTATTATTGAGCTTCCATACGAACCGATTTCCACATGTTATGAGTTGACCACATTGGGTCAGTCAGTATCATTTAATCTTTTTTTTTAAATGGCAACTCAATATCTGAGTTGAGTGAGTGTAGGTTGATGAGTGTCATGTCAGTCGATTCGATAAAGAATTCTGCCTTCTCAATTTGACAGTGATTTTGTGATTTTACCGTGAAGTGTTAATTCTAATAATAATTAGTCATATTTCAAGTATCGTTCTTTAATACGGTTTAAATATGGCTAACGACGATGTAGTGCTAAAACAATATCTATCGAAGTACAAACATCGCGACTACACCGCCCGTGAGGTGATTAATTTGATACAAGTGTACAGAAGTTTGACCTATCGTTTAGAAGCCTTTGTGTTCAACAATGGCACACGAAAAGACTTACTCAATCTAGAGGGCACAATTCCTGTTAATTATAAAGGTGCATATTACAACATCCCAGTATGCATTTGGTTGATGGACACACACCCTCAAAATGCGCCGCTATGTTTCGTTAAACCCACGGCAGACATGTCTATTAAAGTTTCAAAGTATGTGGACAGTAATGGTAAAGTTTACCTACCCTATCTTCATGAATGGACTCAAAATGGCTCTACACTTCAAAAACTTATTCAGTGTATGATAACTGCTTTTGGGGAATTACCACCAGTTTACTCCAAACCACGTACTGAGGCTAGGCCTTATCCAGTCAACTCCTTCATGCCACAGCCTTCTGGTTATCCATTTCCTCAGGGAACTTCACAGCCAGGTTATCCTACTGTAACACCATATCCAACTACCTCAAATCTACCATACCCTAGTTTTGGATCACCTTACCCTGGTGCTGTCAATAGTAATGGTATGCCTTTCCCACCTACAAATGCTACAACCACTCCATATCCTGCTGGTACAGGTTATACCCCAGGACCTGATGTTGCTGGAGGGACTATTACAGAGGAACATATTAAGGCGTCCCTACTCTCTGCTGTTGAAGACAAGTTGAGAAGGAGACTCAAAGAACAATCTCAGCAGTCTCAAGCTGAACTGGAAACTCTTAGACGCACCCAGCAGGAACTTCGTGAAGGAAAGACTCGTCTTGAGGATATATTAACAAGATTGCAGAGGGAGAGAACTGAGCTCGAAAAGAATATAGTTGTATTGCAGGAAAAGGAAAAAGAACTAGAAACTGCAATAGAGAGACTGCAAGAACAAGAAGGCATTGATGTAGATGAGGCTGTTGTAACTACTGCTCCCCTGTACTCTCAGCTCTTAAATGCTTTTGCAGAAGAAGCTACTTTAGAAGATGCTATTTACTACATGGGTGAGGCCTTACGTAAGGAAGTTATTGATTTGGATACATTCTTGAAGCAAGTGCGTACACTGGCTCGTCGCCAGTTCACTTTGCGTGCTCTGATGCACAAGTGCCGGCAGAAGGCGCAGTTGGCGTGCTAATAGTGGCGAGATTTCTGGCAATGTACCCTTAAGCCATCTACCATGTGGCTTAAGTGTGTATTGCCAGAAATTGGAGTTTCTGTGATTTAAATTGCAATGATATGTGGTTAGTCTGTCATGGGATAACTTCAGACTGGACATTTGTAGGAATTTGAACGGAGTCCTGACTTGTAAAACAATTCAGTGTTAGTGTATTTCATAGCAGTAATAAGGTTTTTGTGCATTTCTCATTCAAGATATAAATGCCACATGCTTTGTTGATAAGATGTTGTTTATCATGTTTTTTTGCAGTTCTTTGGTTTGTTTATCTAGTTCTGAGGGTCTAGTATGGGTTTATCTACGTTAACTCACTCTTGATGGTGAGCGCATTTGGTGCTGAGATTGGTGAAGATTTCAGTGGGTCAATCGGTGCCATCAAGTAGATGTAAAATAAACTCACAATAGGGCTTCTGACCACAATTATACATAGGGTAAACTAAAATATGATTGAAGTAAAGAATATACCTACTAAAATTATACATAGCTTTGAAAAATGTATCATAAACTTTATCTTAAAATTGGAAAACTACTTGAATACTGTTATCATAAACAGAATAGCTATAGCTAAGCTATAGTCTGTATTCTGTTCTGTTCAGTGTAGCAGTGTATCACAATTATAGATTTTCATTGCTACCACACATGTAACAAATGTATTTTTTTATTACTAGTTCCTGTTAAACACAATGTAGTGCATTTTATTTCACCTAGTTTTTAATGCATAGTACACCGGATTTTATAAAGGATTGCGATTCAATTACTGTTAATTGGTTTAAAAAACTGCTTTGAAATCTTTCTGCTAATTATAATGTGCAGTGTTCTATCCCACAGTGTGCATAATATAATAATTGAATATCAACTATTATGCTGTATATCTTTATAATGCCTAAATATGTTAATAGCTATAACTTTGTAGAGGAAAATAAATGTGTAAATGTTTAAAAGTAATTAATATTTTTTTAATTGGAGCCACTTTGCATCTGTGAAGTATCTTGCAAAGACAACCTGCTACCATAACTTAATGTTGGTTTTCTTTGCCTTGTCGTTAAGGCTTGGCCAAACGTTTTCTTTTTAATTTGAATCACAGATTATGACTTCTAGGTGAAACTTCTTTAACCATTTACATTTCCTAGTTTAGATATTGCATAGTTTACTTGTTTTTTTAATGCTTATTTCTAATAAATTATAAAAACTAACTGAACTGCAATAGGGGAATTTTGGGTTTTATACAAGTTCTGTTAAAACTGAGTCATAATTAGTTTTTTTTGTTTTAGTGTAATCATTGTTATGGTATTGTTGTTATTTGGTAAATGCACAGATTACCCTCCTTACCTTAACTAACCTCTGTGCACCTACCTACCTTATAAGATTTCTACACCACCAAAAGGTTGACTGGAAGAGAATGCCTTGGGCATTAAGTCTGCCAATGTACAATAGTGCATAAAATTTGAAATAAATAAATAGGATAAATATTAACCCTGCTTTTTTAACTGACAAACTAGATTTGATTCATTTTTAAAATAACTATGCACTTGAGTTGATAATTTAAAAAAAGGCTTGTACATAATCTTATGTGCCTACTATTACTCTGATATCTACAATGATCCACTATGTGCAGGTCTGCAAGGTCACTTACAGATACAAATTTATACAAAACAAATATAATCTGTAGAATATTTATGACTATATTTGCAATAAAATAATACCTTTAATGCATAATAATAACAGTAACATGTATATTAAAATGGTTATTTTAATTTGTTGATTTTACCAGACATTGTTGATGATTTTACTTATTGCTTCCGAATACTTGTTGTGTTTGGTATGTTTAATTACAGTTCTTGAGCGTCTAGTCAGAATATGTACCATAATATCAGTATGATTCCCCGGAATGTCTACTACTTACCATCAACAGATAAAACCAGTATTTTTTTTAACTATTGATGGTATGTTAACGTTTCTACTGATGATAATGATCAGTTTTTGAAACTTGTTAAATAATTATGCTGTGTTTTAGTATTACATCATAATAAAACTGCTAGTGCAAGTATATCTCATAGTAAATAAAAAAAGATTGTCAACTGAAAACTGTGATGGCTCTGTTAGCTAGGTACCATTTTGTTTTCCTCTTCAAATAAGGAATTCTCAGTACTTTTATTTGAAAGTAGGTACACTTTAAAATAAAAAAATGGTGATACTTTTTGAAGGTAAATTATAATATAATAATAATATATAAATAAAATATTAATAAAATATTATTGAATAATTAATGAATAATATATTAATAAATAATTATGTATGTATTACTTCTAAATTGTATGTATCCTGTTGCCTAGGGCACGTACTAAGTGATATTTATTTATGAAGTATTATTCAGAGAATGATGTCACCAGCCAGGCGTCCCGCGCCGACATATTGCGTCATTAGAAAAAAATAGCGGTTACTTTTTATCTCACTAGCACTCGGACAGTTAAAAAGAGAGAACAAAATGGAAATGTTGTCTATGAGATTATCAATACTTAAGATTTCTGAACTGCTATCGGAACTGCTACTATAAAAAGGAAGTCGAATCACAAACTGCTTTATAACGCCATAGTTTTGTCCAGAATAAATCTACGCATTTTCAAGTATTCTGTTAAAATAACAACAACTAGAAAAAAAATATTACGTCTTATTTTAATCAAGTTTGAAGTCGGCCCAGATGTAGAAGAGTAGGTCAATTGTAAAATATACTTATTTTAAAAATAAAATAAAAACATTATTTAACGAGTCCGCGTAATAAGCTTTAATAAAAAATAAGCGATCGTTCTATCGTTAGGTAATCGCTACAAATGACTTTTATTAAAAAAAAAACGGGCACAGCACATTAAATACTCAGCCTTTCCTTGTAAACACAATTTGCAACAACTAACAAGCATTAATTTAAAATACACCATGAAAAAAATCTTTACCGATTAGAATAGAGCTTAGCTTGGTCTTTGAACGGCTCTCGATCAAGTCACCTTACAAACAAAAAAAATTTAAATCAGTCCATCCGTTTAGGAGCTATGATGCCACAGACAGACAGAAACACTCGTCAAACTTATAACATCCTTCCTTTTTGCTTCAGTGATTATAAATAGACCATGGCATAAATTATCAACAGGTGACTATTCAGGTAATAGTTGTTAATGTGTACTGAGTCAATACAGAGCCAATGAAAAATTGAAAACTAATGTACGAGTTGTTGTAATGACAACAACAGACACATGGTCATCTGATTCCAAACTAGACAGAGCCTCAATTATGATGACCAGACTGCTAATTAACATACTGATGGGATGGGAATCGAACCCACGACTTCTGCCTCAGCAACCAAGATCAACGACTAGACCAACATGCCTCGACTTATAGTTTACTTTATTAAGACTGTAAATAAGATTGTTATTTTACTATTATTGCAATTTTATTCATGAAATATATAATAACAATAAATGTTGAAATTACGAATTATAGCGTCATATGTATATTCATTGTTTAATTTTAGAAGTAAATAGACGTAATCAATAATGTTTTAGTATAATACACATATTTCTATATGATAATGAAGAAAAATGTAGAACTAAGATGTACGGAATTAGGTACTCAAGTGTGGCCATAATCGCAAGTAAAACTGCAGGGAATGGCTAGTCTTTAATAAATATGAATACCATACTATAGAACTAGTTATGGTGTTGATCACTAACATAATATAGGTTATTAGGTTATTAGACTTCTGATCGAGTTAACCTCTCGACTTATTGACGTTGGCTTGTCATTATACAGATATTCGGGCTAGCTTCTCTGCATATTTATCGCTTGTGTACTCCGTGAATATTACGTACGATAGCTGAATACTAACAAGGCTACAATCAATAAGATTATAGCGTTTTTAAAAGATGTTCGTCTGCAGTTAGAGTTACCTTCGTATTGCTTATTGAAGTGCACTGTTTAAATAATGCCATCTCTTCTATTTAATTGTATTGTAATGCATACGTTCGTTCCTCGTAATCTTTATTAGACAAGGGTAGCAATACTTATAATATATAAACTGTTTTGAATGTAGTATAAACATAGTTATACTCGTACATATAATAATTGTAGAGTTTTATTATAATGTATGCAAGTTATTAAATCGACTCATTTCAGGCAGCGTTTCTTGTACATATACACTTATTCTTTTTAACACGCTTTTATTAGCTTGGTATTTTTATTCATAAGTGAGATCGAAATTTTTTCATGGTTAAGGTATAATTAGTACATCGTACGCATAGTTCTGTTTTAGTTTATAAAATGTTCCTTTGATAATTTTATACCAGCAGTGTACTGTACTCATGCGAAACTTCCGCTATGAGGTCCAACCATACTTGTCGACATTATGCTCCATTACTTTTTAATGTGTTCTAGAATTTGAGTTTGTTAAATAATGGTACATGGTTACATAAATTTACTAAGAATAAATAAAACAAATGAGTTCTGGATACGAGTGTAATATAAATTTTATGTAGCGTAATTCGGCAACTTGTGGGTTAAGACTCGGAGACATGTTTGTATGTATATGGCAAAACCTATTCGTGAACAATAAAAAAAATTGAGATGAAATAATAATCATGGCAGTTTCCTTGCACATACACAAATAAGTCCCGACTCTTGTAAGATATTGTTATCATTATTTATATATTGACATAATTATATATACCTTCTTAAGTGTAAGTTTGCATTGTATTGTAATCGGCGCGGACTGATATTGGTCACAATAAATATAAAAATAGCAAGATGATGTTTCATTCATTACACTACGGTGACTTGAGTTTATTCCTCTCTCCTGAGATGAGATAATGACTAGCTAAGTTCTGGGCTCTTATCTGTGCATAATAGTACTGTTGCTTTACCAATAAATAGAGTCACTATCTAAATTACTTCATATTATGTTTTTGACGTGTTCTATAATTTCTTCTGAAAGTGATTTCTGTTGGATGTTATTATCAATCAGAGTTCTAAGTAGTGTTGCGATTGAGTGTTGTAGGGCAATGAGCTACCTTAAAAAAATGCTTATAACTAACTTTTCATTCAAGGTCAGGAATAGCAAGCTTAGTAGTTCTGGCATTCAAAAAGCGCAAAGCAATCTCATTCGATCTGAATAAATTCCAGTTTTAAAAAGGAGTCTACATTAAAAAAAATCAAAGATGTAAGTACCTACTTATTTTAGTAGGTGGTACTTCAGCCGTTGAATTTAAATATATCTACACTTTAAAATTATACACATGCATTTGACGTGGTTCTCATTTTAAATATAATTAAAACATTCAGCTGTAGCCCAAGTCATTCTTCTAAATAACTATTAGATATATTTATTGTGGCGAAAATTATATGTTTATGTGATAGTTAAACCTCCATTTTTGTTTATCATTTCGATTCAAATTTATTGTGTTAAGGATTTATAGTCAGAGCATTTATATAGATTTTGCTTGATTGGATAGCCAGTATGGTTATGCTGGATATATATGCATATAAAAGCCTTAGTAGCTCAATATGCTCATTAACTGTCGTCCTACATGGAACTGAATGTTGGCCAACGAAAAGGACGGATGAGAAACGCCTTCAAGATGGATATTTGGAGTGACTAGGATGGAAAAGCTAAGGAATGAATACATTAGAAGATGAATCCTGAAAGTAGCACCAGTGTTTAAAAGTGGTGGTGAAGAAAGTTTTATGTTTAGAAATGGATGAATATAATAGTAGAGAACGACCAAGGAAAGAGCGTAAAAGAGGATTTGGCTAGAAAGGGAGTACCTACCTAAGAAGTGACCAGACGATTAGCAGAGAACGAAAGAAGAAAACTCATAATGATGATGGACTCAGCCTTTAGAAACCTTTTTATATCTATTATTAAAGAATTTTATTTAAAAATAAAAAAATCGTTAGTTGAGGTTCCTTTAGAAAGGTCTCAAAACATCATCAGCCGTGTTCACGATAAAAATAGGTAACTTGTAAATATATACGTCTTATTTTTTTTTCCTGTAACGGTGGTTATGTAGTAGAAGGTAAAGAACATAGTTAACCATTTAACCATAATGTATCCCCTAATTATCCCTTCATTTAAGGAAATCGATTTCCCTTCGACCAATCATTAAATTCCACCTATGTGAAAAAAATATCAATTTGCCGCAGTTTGAACCGCTAAGACCCTAACCTCTCATGGCTCTGTAGTATCAGTAGTAGAATAGTATTAATATTGCTCTTTGGTTTTATATAAAAACACGTACTCATGTATAAAGCCAGGCTGTCATTTAATGGTAAAAAATATAAGCTTATTGAGACAAATAAATTAAATGCGTGATTTGCGGAATGAACACATTAGCTCAGTTATTTCTTTTCGTCCTTCTTCTTGCCTTTCTTGACAGCAGCGGCGGCTTCAAGGTCAATGGGTGCCGGCTTTACAAACGGGATCAACTCTTGGTACTGTTCAGGCATCCAGGGTTTCAAGACTTCAGGTACCTGGGTACAAAAACATATTTATTAAGTGTAATAATAAAAAATAATACAGATAATTTCGATACAAAAGTAGCGACTTCGTTATTAAAATTATATGATATTATAGGTACATTATTGCAACACTTTTTAGGCAATCTCTTTTTCCAGATAATTTTTGACGTTTAATACGACTCTGTTTATGTTCGAGAACAAAAGACGTGAGTATGTATGTTTGTAAAAGAAAGTGTTGACCTTGACGCCTTCTTCAGTCTGGTTACACTCGAGCAGAGCACAGATGACACGTGTAGTGGCGCACATGGTCGCGTTGAGCATGTGAACGTACTCCGTAGCTGCGTTCATCTTCTTTGTCTGACCATATCTGTTGACAAACGGGAAATTAACATGGCGTCAAGGTTTCTTGAGATGAATATGATAGACACACATATTTTCAGTATTAGAATGAAGAAATAAAATCATACCCCATAGGGTTTCTTTCAAGCTTTCCTTTTAGTCGGCACTTATGACACGGGATGATCAGTGGTGGTAATTATATTTACCTTACGAGCAGTCTCCTGGCCTGGTACTCCAAACAGTTGCTGCAGGATACCAATTCACGGAAGGCACCTGAACCAGGGAACCAAGCTTCCAAGTCCAGTTTCTTTGAGGCGGCGTGGTTTAGTGCGCCCGAGACGATGTTTACGACGCGGTAGGGGATACCGAGCACTTGGCAAAACTCCTCTGCATTATTGATCATTTCGTCCATCATCTGCCAGGAGGCATTGTCATGAGGAGAGGTCAACACGAATTGTTCTACCTGTGGATAAATAAAAATTTGTATTAAAAATTATTTTTCCTTTGGCTTTGGCTTTCCTGACTTTCCCAACATGCGAATTGTTTGAAACCTTATAAATTACTAATAGAATAATGTATATATAGCGACAATTTTATGAAGATGGATGGTACCACCAATAAAGCTTGCAGTCAACAGGATTTTTTTCTGACTTAAGAAAACCTTAATAAACTATATATAGATTTTTTTATATAAAATGCGTTTGGTACTTTCAAAGTTTATGATGTTCAAACAGACAGATGAAGTCATGGACTTTATTTTATAATACGTGGTATTGTCAGCTAACAATCGAGGGATTCTAATAACGTTGACGTGCACAGCTCTGCTGTTGTTACTTCTTGTTAAACATCATAATAACTAATCATCGACCAGAATGCAACGCTGTGGTATAATTTATGATTACCATGTCTGACTTCGGCGCTAACATTTCCTGTAGCTAGTTAGGAACGGCATTTCATTGACGCCTGTTAAGTTAGATAGCTTTTTTTTAAAACAAACTTTAAGTATGTTTGTTTAACTTAACAATCTAAGTTACCTAACTAAACAAATTAAAAGGTTTACCTTTTCAAACTGATGTACCCTGAATATGCCGCGTGTATCACGGCCGTGAGAACCGACTTCCTGGCGGAAACAAGTCGATATACCGGCATACCTAAAATGAATTAAATTTGAAATTATTTAAATAACAAAATTATGATTATTTTGTTTTTATTTTTTTTCTGATCACTAGAAGGACAACTGGAAATGAATAGAATGCATAGAAAAGTTTTCAAATCTTTCTGAGGCTGACTTGGCTAGTCAAGAAAAGAACTATATGTTTTTTTTTATTAATAGCTTTTTACTCTTTTACAAAGTGATAATACTAGATTGGCAACACAACAACTCAAATGAATAGTACATAACAACTCAAATGACTTCTGTTAAGCATATTCAATTAGGGATATCATACAAAATAAAATTGATGTTATTGTAGTAGTCAATAATTAATATTCCACCTAATGGGTAAAGATGCCTCAGGAAGCCACTCATCCCTGTGGTATGCAGCGATGGGCTGTTCAGAAGTTGCAATAAGATACTTCTCCTCAACAGCACTATCACCCTTGTTCTCAGACCCTTTGCCAACAACCTTATATAATTCCTCATCAAATTGAGCTAATTGCGCCACTTCTTGCATTACCTGCAAAACACAAATTGACGGTTGTAAGACATTTTTATGCCATTCCTTTCAGTAAGAATACATTGATTAATAATAGAGTTTTAACAGACATTATAAAGTATTCTATTTTTTTTGCTATAACGTGCAAACGAGCACCTGATGCACCTGATGGTAAGCACCGCTGCCCATGGGCACCTGTAACTCTAAGTGTTTAGCAACGAAAGAACTGCTTAAACACCGGTTTCCTGTGAGGACGTCGTTGGGGTTATCTCGTTCTGCTGTGGGGGAATGCTGCCGACATTCAAACCATTTTTGTGCTGCAAAAGAGAGCTATTCGAGCACTTTATAATTTAGGCAATCGTTGTTCATTGAGGCAGAAATTTAAAGAAATAAATATAATGACAGTGGCAAGTCAATATATTTATGAAAATGTAATATATGTTCACAAAAATAAAGATAGCTTTTTGAAAAAAAGTGATGTACATGCCATAAATACCAGAAATAAAAATAAATTTGTTGTACCCGCCTCTAGGCTCCAAAAGATAAACAAGTCTTTTCGAGGTCAATGTGTCCGATTTTATAATAAAATCCCAAATAATATTCAGGAGTTGAGTATTAACAAATTTAAATCCGCAATAAAACGTGGCTTGTGCCAGAGGGCCTACTACTCGATTGTGGATTACATGGAGGACAAGAATGCTTGGGATTAATTAGCGCAGGCTATTTCTTTCTTAAGTAAAAATGTGGTGTGGCTAGTATGTTTTTTATTATTTTTTCTATTTTTTATGTTTCACTTCATTTTCTCTTGTATTCGTTTGTTCTTCTTAATCTTGTTTTCTCTTCGTTGTTTTTTCACCTTTAAGTCCTTAATAACAGACATACTAGCACACATCAAAACAATGTTGTGATATATTTAATAGTGCCATTGTATCTACTTGTGAATTGCAAAAGAGTGGCCATGAGTTTGTTTGCCCTTTCTTCTCATAAGGCTCAACCCCTTGGAAACGGGCGGTTGTAGATCGGCACAGGCATATCATAGATTTTGTATGGGTTTGATTTTGTTAAATTTATTTGACAATTTATTTTACTATTTGACAAAACAGAGATTGTTGCTTTTGTGTGTGTTGATCTATGACTTTAGAGTCTACATGGAAGACGATTTCAAACAATTTTGAAAATTTTATGAAATAAAGAAAGTTTGAGTTTGAGTTTGAGTTTGAGTTAACGGTACCCTGGTAGTTGTGGTTGTAGGTAAATAGTTCACACCAAACCAGTATTAACTTCAAGACAGAGTTATTTTTCTTATGGCTGAATAAAATAATTAATGAATACTACTGTATAAAAAAAACTAAAATAGCTGTATAAGCATTATTGGTCGTACAGACGTGGTATCACGCCGAGGTATCACAGCGTAGCCTTAATATATTTTTCAACTTCAGCCCATGTGACAGTAGTGAGTTTGTGAAGTTAGGACTTGTAGAATTAGTGTGTGTAGCATTAGAAGCTTGGCTCTGTATGAGTTCTGCTAACGTTTTGACAGTGCACGCCATATGGTCTCGTCTTAACCACATTTTACATGAAAATGTTTTTTAGTGGAATGTACTATAGTAAATAAACAATAAAAATAATGTACAAAGGGCGGACAATTTCTTCCGGGCAGTCTGGATCAATAGGAATCATTGAAATTGTATTAATATCAAATTAATAACTATTATCTTAGGTACCAGAGATCAACTGCTGAATTTGACTTAAAAACGAAATGAGCTAATGAAATCACACCTATATACCTATAAAATAGAAAGATAAATCAAGTTCATAAATACCTATACTAATTTATTTTACTAGTTATGTCTGTTCTATACTCCTTGTACATTAATTTAAGCGATACTTATTCTTTTCTTTAAATAAAAGTAGATTAAGTTACAGTGACTGATCACTTATGTGCTAGTAAAAGACCTGTGAAAATTTATCCAGCCATTTTTTTATATTAGCTAGATCAAAACTGCAGATAAAATCTTTAAAAACTGTAATTTAGTAGAGGTATTATGCAAAAGCAACTTTCATAATATATTATATGTATTCTGTACATTTAGTAAACTTTGTTTCAAACTTACTTTACAGATGTATACATTACATAAAATATATCAATTTTCCAGACCTCTTCTACATTTAAAATTATGATTTAACAAATTCCGATTTTCCGAAAGATTTCCACTGCTGGACATAGGCCTCCCCCAGGGCTCTCCACAACAACCGGGCATTTTTTTTTCTTAATTTGTACTCTATGTATGAAAGTTCTATAAGACGTTATTTAATAGACCTACAAGAATTCCATTTTTAGGTGAAGAGTAATAGTTACCATTTATCAGATTAATTTTGTGGAGCGAGTCCTACTGTGTCTGTACTATTCTGTGTATTATGTGTTCAGTAACCACACTAGAACATACAGTTACACTCAATCTGCCTTGCTCAAATTTGACTTACCTCTTTCCTCATGAAGAATGGGGTATACAGAGGTGTGTATCCTTTCTTGAGCAACATCCTAAGGGAGAGCTGAACGAGTGCATGTTCTAAAAACACTGCTGCACCTTTCAGGTAATATCCACGGCCGCCTGCTACTGCAGCACCTCGTTCGCCATCCATGCCTTTTATAAATGAAAATATTGACATTTAAAAAATTTACTTGATACTAATGAAAATATAGTAATAATGCTGGATTTAATATACATACATAATTTAAATACAATTGTGTATAAAGAAAGGTTTTCAAGACTAGGTAAATACGCCAAATAGTTTTTTAAGGCACTAGACACCATCTAGTTGCAGAAGTTCGACCATAACTCATGAAATATCCAATGTTTTATTTTATTCCATTGACATTACCAGTGTTTTGTATACTGTTTAGATGGATGATTGTTAGAAGGATTTTTTCTTTTGAGTTTGAATTTTGTCTGTTGAGTGATTACTAGTCTACACAGAAATGAAAGTATACTACTCATAGAAAGTATTCCTAAGATACAATGGTTTAGTAAAGACTATACAAGGAGTAATTTAGAAATATCGTTTACTTCTTTAAACTACTTACCATCAATCATACAAATTAAGTCCACATGTGAGTACTTTTTCCTAAACTCACAGTCTCCATGTGTTCTCTCCACCTTATTATGGTCTTCATCATCATCTACTGGTACTGATTCATGGAGATGATTGCCTACTTCTCGAAGAGCTGCTGAACGTGCTTTTTCTGCTGCTATAAGAGCCTGCTCATTTTTTGTTATGGCTTCATCTATTAATAGCCTGACCTGAAAATATTATAAGAATATTTTATTGTACAGTCTTAAATGATATATCAATCATCATCATCATCATGTCAGCCACAAAAGAAGATCATTGCTGGCCATAGGCCTCCCCCAAGGTAGTCACAACAACCGGTCCTGCGGTCCCAGCACATTAAAATATAAAATTATTATTATCTATTTAAATATTTTAAAGATAAACATAAAATATATATTTTACGCAACCAACTTAGTAGGTGCTTAAGCATATTCTTGCTAGAGTGAAAGAAATAGAAGGCCTGGCCTTACATTGCTTTTAAGAAAACACAGAAAAACATAAAATTCACAATCCTCATAATCATCAACTACATAAATTGGTATTTGATGTGATATTCACAAACAACATTTTTTGAACAATTATATATCTGTCTCACTTCTGTTTTACTGACAAATACCATCATATAAGTTATATATTTATATTGATTAAAACTGAACTGTTTCTATTACAGTATTGCAACCTTTGTGTTGTTTCATCCTGCCTTTTTCATATATTTACCTTAACCACATTGAGAACATCATAAGTGTGACTATACTAGAGAAATAATAGTTCTACATTGTACATATTGCATCTTTCTGTGGCCCGCAATAGATGATGCAATATCACAGAGTGGTAATGTATGAATCATAAAAATCAATACTTAACAGAATGAGTTTTTCTTAGTTTCTTCATCATCCATTACAATTAAGTCTTTAATAGTTGGACATAGGCCTTTCCTTAGGAAGGAGGTTTTGGCCTTTGCAGTGATGTTGTCCTATGTACTTCACTCCCTTAGCCAGCTCTTATGATACCCATGGGATGAATAGGGATGGTGACAACCCATATTCTTAATATGTCACAATCCAGATAGTTTTCTTAGTTTAGGTTTAGTTTATTTCTTTCTCTTAGATATGTTTATTAATACATTAAATTAAATTATAATGATTATATTGTCGAAAATAGAGACAGCTAACGAAAAGTTTAGGTATATAAGGTTGAATTATTTAGAGTATTACTTTAAATACAGAATAATTTTCTAATAACCTAACTGTAACATATGGTATACATAAAAACATGTTTTAGGCAGACGATTCTAAATGGGCTTTTAAGAAGTTTATATAATTGAAATAATTTTTAACTTTCTCTCACCTTTTTGATCTGATTCACTGTCAAAGGCCTTAATTGTTCTGCAGTCAGGTCAACCAACTTATCGGCTACTTCTTGCGGCACTGGTTCATCTTCTGGTCCAACTGGTTCTTTGCTCTTCATCTTCTGACCGATTTCTTTGCTGCATACATTTTTAAGCTTGTTATAGTTGTCTGCTTCGTGACGAAGTTGCCTCCAAAGAGTATCCTGTTCGACAACAGTATCGACAAGCCCAACATCTTTGAACCTCTTCTTTTGATTATCACGAATTTTGTCCGGATTACCATCCTTATCAGCACGAAACAGATCTAAATCAAGAACCATGGTCGGGGCTACGAATTGGCTACGTTTATAAATATATCAAAAAGAGTAACAGTGCACGTAGCACTGCATGCGGCAGAGAGCGGTTTCTGACATTGACATATTTGACATGTAGTCACGAATGCAGAGTACAGAGTTGCTAGAAGTTTATAATATTTTTGTTAAAAACGGTTTTTTTTTCGAGTGTTGCCCAATTATAGAGTTTTTTGTTGGTCCATAAAAGAAACTTAGTAAGAAGTTACTAAATGGAATCATAATTCACAATTTTCAACATGCTGCCTCATAAATTTATCCTATTTGTTTAAAAAAATATGGATTCTGATTAAGAAAAAAAGGATAAATATGTTACCAGATACCAGAACCTTACAATTAATTTATAGCAGTCTACTTATTGTTCTACATTATTAGACATAGTTGGAAGGATCTGATGTTTAAAATTTGAATTAAAAAACATCTCGTGTTTTCGATATTCTTTTTTTTAAGACACTTAAACATTGTATCTTTTTTTTAAAGATACTGTTTGTAAAGGGACTTTACAAACATATATGAAACGGACACAAGAAACATCCACACTCAGAACGACAATTTGTGGATCACACAAAGTGTTGTCCCATGTGGGGATCGAACTCACAACACAACACGCGGCGTAGTAATCGTAATCATTTTTAAAATTAGTGCTAAAGTGATATGATTAATATCATTAAATCGTTTTTGAAATTAGTAAATTTTATAATTTGACTTTGTCTAGCTTTTTAACCGTACAGTTCTATTTTTTGTCTCTGCCATAATTTATGCTTAAATGAAATGTACCCTTTGATTTGACATTGCAACACCAAATACAGTTGTCAAATTGTTGAACGTTTGGTCGGTCCTTTCTCGAGCTCTTCTTGTTCATCATTTTTACGTTTATTTGTATAATATGTGGGTCTTATCTGATACCAGCTGAGACTATTCAACCTTGTTTATTATCATATAGTTTGTGAGTATTTGTTTATACGTTCTCGATACGATTGTTCGAAAAAAATGTGTCGCTCAGTTCCTTGTTTACACGTATTCGATAGCAATGGTCTCCCGATCTATTTACAAAGGGGAGGATTGATCTGATTAGATTCTGTTAATTTCGAATATAGTTAATTGTGTTGCGAATTATTGTGACTTCTTTCTCTAGAAGTTATTCTAAAGCGGTATTTTGTTGAATAGACTGGATTGTGTGTTAAACGGGTTTGTTGTTGTAACCCACTTGTTCCTAACAAGTAACAATTATTGCCGGCTGTAATTTATCTTATTACATATACACTAATGCTAAAGGAAATATTTGCTGTATGTTTAGTGTTTAGTGGTGAAATTAAAATTTATAAATTTTGTTTTGATTAATATCTGATTTAGTTAATACTAAATACTTACACCTAAGTTACTGCTGTTTAGAGGCACTAGTTACCGCTTATTATCCTATGCTTGATTTGTATTTACTACAAAAACTATATGTGTAATAAAAAAATGAAAAGTGGTACCAATATTTGCAAATAACTGATACATAAGATTTTTCTAAAATATTTACATTATTTCAAGAAGAATCTTGTTAGATAATTCATAACCTAATGTTTTTATTATAGCTAAATAGAAGCACTTGTAAATGAATAGGTGGTGATAGTGTTTTGTTCCAACTGAAACCTCATACCTACTCCAGTAAGATACTGGAGTAACTATAGCAGTTCCTAAACTATTGAGGTACAAGAATACTTATTAAATGCCCTAAAGTTAGTGAGTAACAGTGTAGTCTTGAATTTCCTTACATAGATCTGAGCTCTCATTTTGTTCATTCTCAAAATCAATTTTATTAAATAATGATGATTATAAAATATATTTCAAATATCTTCTGGCCTTAGTTTCTGATCTCTGCTAGACAAAACATCAGACAGTACTAGTAAAAATAATTTATGTCAATAAAGAATAATGTAATAAAGAAATAATATGTAGTAATAATAATATGTAATAAAGAATAAGGAAAATTTACAAAACAACAATAAGACTTACTATTAATAACCTTTTTAGATTAAAATTTCAAAAATCTACAATATGGTTTTAATTAATGACCCTTTCAGTTGAAAATTTCCAAAGTCTACAATTTGGTTTTACTTAAAATGTGCCATGAGGGAATCATCAAACCTTCAACACATTATGAAACCTTTCATAAGAAAACCTTAAAAATTGTAGTTCTACTGGAAGCATTTTCTTCTTCTGACCATCAGGAGAAGAATACTAGGAACTGACGTTGATAAGCAGAAAATATTTGATATAACCTTTTGTTCTCTTCACAGGCAATGATAAGATGATTCCATTAAAAGATAACCAAGATGTGGCATCATTCCTTGTCACGAAACACTCATGGAAGGGGAAATATAAACGGGTGTTCTCTATTGGCACCCACGGAATTACAACTTACAACCCGGATCGTTTGGAGGTGACCAACAAATGGCTGTATGCAGATGTCGTCACTGTAACGTCAGCAAAGCATTCAAATTCTACTGCTAATCATGATTTCACTCTAGTTATGAAGAAAGAGAAGAAAGTAGACACTATGAAGTTCTCCTCTGAACACAAGTGCCTGGTACTCACTGAAGCTTTTAAATACAGAAATTGTTTTGCTGAGAAACCCAAAGATGTTTTTGTAAGTATCTAGATTAAGTTAGTGTTATTTGATTATGGGATTCTTTGTGTATGTACACAAACACAAAACAGTTTAGTTTCCTTTTCTACTGCTTTTATTTTGTTTGTTTTGATTAATGGCCATTGATAAGCATTAATGTTGTCAATAAAAAATAGGTTGTCTTATTACTGTTGATGATGATATATTCTTTTCAACTTATTCTGAAATATGGTCTATTTTAAACATTTAGTCAACTTTTTGTTAAAGAAAAACAGATGTATTTTTTTTACAGTATTCTTTTTTTTTTTTGTGACAACAATCATATTAAAAATGTGTCACCTAAGTTGAACTGAAGAAATGATAAACTTCCTTAAATAAATGAATTTAACAAAGGTTACAATAGACATGTTTTAAAAATGTTAGTGACAAGTTATTATTAGCTTCAATAGCTCACATCTGCACATCTTAATTTATTATCCCATTCTCTACATTCTCTGTCCCATTTAAGGCCATCATTCTGTGATTTATAGCATTAATAAAGGAAATAAAGTCTTCAGGCCTGGGGTTGACAGGTGAGGCCATCTGTCACCCTAGCAGAAGCAGGCCGGGGTGGCGGCGAGCGCGTTACGAAGCGCGCTCGCTTCCAGGGAGCAGAGGGAACATGGGGTTCCCACGCGGGGGGAGGGGGGGTCGTCTACTTGTTGTAGATGGCCCGAGGTATGTCGTGGCACCAAGGACTTCCTTTCTAGGGTATACCTGGTTCCCCGGCTATTAGTACCCGAGACGGCGTGCGGTTTTAGTGGGTTCGAGTCCGACATGCCACCGGGTATCCGAGGGGATTTCCGCACGGAAAAAATAGGGAAATAAAGTCTTTAGTTTTATAAAAATAGATTCTAAAGTGCATTGTTTGTTTATAGAGATATCAGGCCTACAAGCATCACTGGAGTGGTACACGTCTTCCAATAGTCCTAGAAGTTGGTCCTTGTGCATTAGATCAGCTGGATCCTTCCACCCACACACTATTGGCTAGCTATCCATACTGTGATGTACAAGGCATTTTACCTGTTCGTGATGTACCAGGAGGCTTCGTCTTAGCAGTAGGAGGATATAGCCGCTTACACCTATTCTCCAATGCCATGGACCATCAGATAATCATAAATAAGATGCTAGAATTAGCAAACTTGACTTTGAGCATAAGCATCAAGGTCCTATCCACAATGATTACTTTGGATGATTATCATAATCAGAGATTCGGGAAATATAGGTAAGTTTTGACATAGAATGTAAATACAAAACTGTTTATATATAGTAAGTTAAATAGGAAAATACAGAAATGTACAAAAAAAAAAAAAAACACACACAAATAAAAATAAATATATGTTAGCCTTAAAGACGCGAAAACGCTTATGGAGCGAAAAACCAATGCATTGTCGCAATCACAGAAAGATCACGACGCGAAATTCGTATTATGGTTCTTATGAAAACGACGGCAACGCGTTAAAGAATCGCGAATCACAGAAAAAACATGGATTTCGCGATTTAGTCTGCACTAAAACACCTAAGCTCTAATTTCGATTCACACAGTCCAATCTCCAATTCAGTTCGATTTGACAGTGACAATAGTGTGTTGTATCTTATTCTACATAACGCATGTCTGGTGCCTCTTGAATCATTTCACTTCACTATCGCAGTGGCCTAATAACATTAAAAAACAATTAAAAAGTCATGTTATGTTGACAATTATCGGTACTAAAATCATTAGTGAAATACGTGTCATTTATTTCTAGTGATATAAGAGTAACAAAAGCACAATTTATCTCGTTATTGCTTTGTATTTATTATTGTTAAATAGGTTATTTTTTGGTTATTTATTAACTTTTGAAGGCCTCATGGGTGGTCACCCTCTAGGTATAAACGGTAAGGTCGGAATCGAACTCACTAAAACCAAACCGAATTGCCAAGGTGCTGGTGTTCCTCGATAAACTTGGTGGCCTGATTTTCATCAGGCGGCGGAAACATCACCGACATCAAGTATCTAAAAATGCTGAAAATAAAAATTTGAATAAAAACTTTCGTAAATGGTATTATATTATATATTTATCAAAAGACTAGCAATTTCACCTACGGTCATGGTCACTGGTCCGCCGCTTCTATGACTCGTAGCGTTTTTTATAGCCTATGTATTATTAATTACTCAATAAATATTCTATCTAAAACAAGAAAAATAAATTATCGAAATTTGTCGACTGGTAAGTTAGTAATTAGCGTTTAAAGAAAGAAAAAAGCTTATACGTATAGATACATACGGTTTTACTCATGCGTTTATTTCGCGAAGCTCAAAATATGTCTTTTTTCCTTTGCGGAAATCCCAATGGAAACCACCCCCCCGATGTTTCTGTCGGACACGAACGAAGTTTACACGGGTCACCCGATGGTAGACGGCTACCGCCGCCCATGGATCTGCAATTCGAGAGTCACAAGTTAATTGCCGCCCTTTAATTCCCTTCTCCCAGAATCAAGGGGATAGTTCGGGCTCCGGTAAACTTACTCACTCAGTGAAAAGCAACGAGAAAACTGCTCAACACTGATTCTCTGTCACTCTAGTCGAGCCGGCCTATTTGTGCGAAGTATGGCATTTTCACGGCAAAAAAGTCCGTTCTTGAAAAAAGTAGTTTGGCAGTCTTTGTAAAAGGGCCCCCGCCGAGTCCGAAACATACGACAGATATAAAATCCGTACGTGGGTAAACGCATATTTTTTCAGTAAATAATTAAAGAATCAGCATTGCTAAATGTTTCTGTATATAGAAAACCTGTTGTCTATGTAAACTGGAACTGATAAATTGTATAAAATATCGGTCAATGTTGTTCCTATAAATACGTTCACTCATAACAAAGTCATTGTACCAACGCGCTTCGCGTTAATTAACATACACTTTTATTTGTTTTTTAATTGTCAGTTTACACATTGCAACATTCGATTGTGTGATTCACCCGACCTTGGACAAACTCATTTATCTAATGCGATACGCTCATCATAATGGACGTATCAAATTTCTTTTCATAATTTTTGGTCAGTTAAAATGTTAGTAAAAATAAATGTTTGTTAAATGTTTTATTGAAATCGAAAGTGTTGAAGACGGAAGAGAAGGGGCTTGTCTTGTTTTGAGCTGTTTAGGTTTTTTGGATGAGTTTCGTGATGCGATGATGACCGTAGTTTAGAAAGTAAAATCGTAACATTTCACTCAAATGATTATGACTGGGTTTAGATTTAAAATTACGTCGCATTCTGGGTTTGAATTCAAAACGGGTTTTATTATTATTATTTATAATTAATAATACTGATATTCCTAGAAATTACAAGTCAAATCTCCTTCTGAAAGATTATCCATGACGTCTAACAATTAATTAATTATTAAAGATTTCATACCCAATTATATACCTATTGCATATTTCAAACGCAAGTTTTACAACACAATTAAGTAATAAGAAATAATGTATATTCTTTGTTCGCATTTACAATTTGCAAATAATATTTTAAGTAAAGCATTGTATGTGAAGTAGATTAGTAAAAATGTTATTTTTTTTTATCATGGTACATCGTATCATACCCTGTTTTTTTTACTGTGTTTTGCTTAATATCTGTCCCCCAACTCGGGCACAACGAGACCTAATGTCATGATTTGTAGTTGGAGCATATAGTGGAAGTTTTTTTAGAAAGTAAGGATTTAACTAAAATATAGGACAAAATAATTAGTACTAATTTAAAACACCGGAAGACCGCGCAAGCGCCTAGCGCAAGTTGTCATGAACGCTCGGTGAACTTTGATCCCTTGGTCGACGAGTAGTCCTGTATTTTTGCATAGGTTTCTCTTTTCGAAGATCCGAATAGCTCATGGTTCTTATCGTTACCCGTTAATAATAATAATAACTTCACACATCTCATACACGGCATCAGCACTGCAGTCACTGAACAGGCCAGTCAAATACATACACATTATAGGTAAAATACACCCAGACCCAAAACACTTGACCCTGACCATCACACAATTATTTGTCCCGTTTAAGAATCGAACCCACGATCTCTGACTTAGCAATCAGGCTCACTAACTACTAGACCACCAGGCCAGCCTAATATGTAATGGTGTTTTTTTATTTTACAGCGGTGACCAACATCAGACATCTCTAAGTGAGTTTATTGTACATAAAGTGAACCCTGCTCGTCATATGGAACCAATGCGTCGTACTCTATGTCTGTCTGACACTTGTATACTAGAGAGGGATCCACAGACTTATTCTGTAAGTATTTATTTAAATGTAATATTACTAGCAGTTTACTGCCACGCTTCCCTGTGGCACATTGTGGTCAAATTGAGGAGAAATGAGGAAAATAGATAAAAACCATCTTTGAATCGGATTGTATATCAAATCAAAATCTGTGCAAAACTTTTTAAAGTTTTTGAAGAGTATACAAACCAACTTAACATTTATATACAGAGTGTAAGAGATGGTGTAAAGAATACTGAAATAGTGTATTCAGACCATCATTCTCAGTCGAAAGTCGTTTTAATTTTCTGCCAGATGTTTTTTAGTTTTTGATCGTATACGGTATTTTGGTAAAATGTTCTATTTACTCATTGAGATATCATTTTAAGCAAAAAATGCGATTTCATAAAAACAAAAATGCTGAGTTTTCCGGCAGAAACTTCTAATGATTTGGTCTGAATACACTATTTCAGTATTCGTTACACCGCCTTTTATATATGATAAAAAATGAATAATATGAATAATATTATTATATAGCTTTTTTTCCTGTGCGGCAATCCCCTCGGATATCACCGACCCCTGGGGTGATCGTGTCGGACTTGAACCGACCAAAAATCGCACGCCGTCGCGGGTACCGTCTACGGTACCTGGCCCGTTCCCGGGCCTGGCGGGCCGGAACAGTTCTAAACTTCTGCCGGTCCCGCTCCGTACAGTGGCGGCAATCATACTACCAAGCGAGAGGTCACGCCTATGCTCCACCCACACCGGGCATTCTGCCAACGCCGCAATAACGGCGCAACCGACCGTCCCTTATACCCTTTTTTGTTTTTTTTTTCCGTGCGGAAATCCCCTCGGATACCACCTGTCAGTGGCATGTCGGACTCGAACCGACTAAAACCGCACGCCGTCTCGGGTACTAACTAATAGCCGGGGAACCAGGTATATATACCCTAGAAAGGAAGTCCCTGGTGCCCCGACATACCTCGGGTCATCTACAGACGAGTAGACGACCCCCCCCCCCCCCGTGTGGGAACCCCATGTTCCCTGTGCTCCCTGGAAGCGAGCGCGCTTCGCAACGCGCTCGCCGCCACCCCGGCCTGCTTCTGCTAGGGTGACAGCTGGCCTCACCTGTCACCCCCAGGCCTGCGCTTATGGAGGACGGAGGTCGTTCTGCGACCTCCGGCGCCTGAGTCGCCTGCGGTACCTGGCCCGTTCCCGGGCCTGGCGGGCCGGGAGAGTCCTAAACCTCTCCCGGTCCCGCTCCGCGTCCCTTATACCCTGTAAATAATAGATAGAATAAGATTCTTCCTTTTCTATGTCGTCTCAGGTCACGATACATTCGTATTGAAACTCGGGACCAGACATGATTGTATTGTAGACGCTTTATTTTCAAAGGGGCATTTATTTGTATAAATAAGCTAGCGATTCGCCCCGGCACGGGTGCAATGTAGATACTACTAATATTACTAATCCGGTGTCTAGTGTTGTGTAAATAATTGTAACATTATTATGAAAAGACTATACTAGAGGACATCTTTATATGCGATATTTATAGGCCCGCTTGCCGGCCGTCCAGGGCCTCAATTCTGCTATTTTATGTTCACGCCAAGCCACTGTCATACCGCTGACACGCTATTGAGATGCCATCGAGTGGCCATTGGCATCGGTATAAATATCGGTAGTCTACACCAACTAAACAACAACAAAAACCGCAACGATAATTCTATTAATTACGGTGTATTATGTCGTTGTAGTTTATACATTTGTATCAATAAATATGATAAATCCATAACAACTTTATGGACCAAAATTAAAAAAACGTGATACGTTTTCAAATTATAAGGAAATGATTTACTTATTTTTCCAAATATGGCAATCTTTTTGATATCACCACTGATGAGCCACTGCCATTCCATCGCCATTGTAAAGACACTGAGTTAGTGTAGACTACCGATATTTATACCGATGCCAATGGCCACTCGATGGCATCTCAATAGCGTTTCAGTGGTATGACAGTGGCTTGGCGTGAACATAAAATAGCAGAATTGAGGCCCTGGACGGATGTAGAGAGCGACGGCTGCTTTGCCTCCGCATTTTAAATCTGACTGTAAGATATTAATTTTAATGATATGCTGAAATTGGCAATATCAATCTACATTAAATGCACATCGTATATAACGTATTTATTTGGATAAGGAATAATACTGTGTTGTTCAAATTACCCATTATTTTTTGTAGTATGTTAAAGATATAAATGGGTACTGTGGGCCATCCTTAGGAGATAGACATACAATCGCTGATTTTTTGTAGACCTTTTTAAGATATACAATTACGTAGTACATTATTTTGATCTATATCGTAAGGTTTAGCCAGCTTTTGCAATGTAAGTGTACTGGAACATGTTTTTTACGCCGAATCTTTGAAATTTATATTATTTATACATATAAATCCGCCTCTTGAATCATTCCTCTTTCTCTCTCTCTCTCTCTGGTGAAAACCGTATTAAAATCTCTAAACTTCAAAAGATCTAAGCGTACAAGAAAATAAAGGAAACTTGGTTTTAAGCTCTATAAGGAAGATGAAGTGCCTGTTTTTTCTATGAGACGGGTGTTTGTGTGAGGTTATTTTTATTATTATACCCAAATAACATAAACAAAATTGATTAACTTCTGACACTTTGTAATTGAAATGACACCTTAATGGTAAATTAAAAAATATTTTTTTTTATACATTAAATCGATTCCAATTATATTATGCAAATTCTTGAAGTTCTTAGAAGTCGTGGGTAGTCCAAAACCCATGAACATGAAGATTAAAAATTTACCGACTTTATTAACGAGCAAACGACAGACTTAAAAAAGTGGATGTAACAACATAAAAGAGTCCTAAGTAATATCGATTGTCATAACGTATATACGTTGCATCGATGTCGATGCATCAATTGCACTTAGTTGTTTATACCAAAAAGAGATTTTCTTTTTATTATCTTGTTTTTTTTTAATTATGTTCTATTAATGGCTCTGCAAAAGTGAATGTATCTTTATTGCACCGAAAGAGAATGGACTGTTTATGTATTTAATGTTAACAATGACTGCACTTTAGCGCATTGACACCATCCTTTTCACGTAATTTATTATGGCACATTGTTAGTTATAATATATGATAAAAATAATTACTATTTTTTGCCAGCCATCTTATATATTTTATATCATAATAAACCACTTATGGTGACTAAAAATATATCTAAATAAAAAAAAATATTCTTGTAACTGTAAAGAAACTTCAATACCATAATATAAAGCATACAATCTAATAAATGCGTGTTAAATATAAAAAAAAATCTTTTTATGGACAGTCTATGATTTCTAAAGTATAAACCAAGCTAGGTATGTTAGTTTCAGCAAGCCAGTGTTAATAAAACTCAGCTAGAAATTAATGTGTAGTGACGGATTAAGAATACGGAATGTCACTACCCCAATTCTTCCCGTAGGTGTCGTAAGAGCCGACTAAGGGAGAAAACTACGCAGAACAACAGCACTGCAGAGAGAAGGAAAACTTGACACAAACCCTATACCAACCCGTCTGGCCAGCGTGGTATAGTAGGCCAAAACCTCCTTTCTAAGGAGAGGCTTATGTCCAGCAGTTGACTATTAAAGGCTGTTGATGATGATGATGAAATTAATTGCAAAAAAAACAAATGAGTTTAACACAAATCAACGTAATGTAAATTTTAATCGTAAGAAATGATTAAACAAAGAAAGGTGTACTATACCATGCAGAATTTGATTATGATATGTTCAGTACTTAAATCAACATTCGCAACTGACAACTCCAACTGACGTTTAACATAGTATGAAATATGGAGATCTAACAATTAGTAGATATATATCAATTAGTAGAATTTTTATCTGTAACACCTTGCCTATCGCTTTCCTGCAATCTGTAGGAGGGTTTTCTTTAAAGGGGACGGAAGTATGTAACAGGAAGCCGGCGATTTGACCAATGATCTCGATCGGTTCTTGTGTTGGCCGTCAAATACGTCTACTGCATGCTCCTCTTTTTTTATTAAATGGGTATTTGTATTCTGTTATTTACAGGTGGTTTGCTTGCGCCCGCTAAGCGACGTATTCGCGTTAGTAAGAGACCCAGAACATCCACAGAAATTTTCTATAGAATACCTCAATGGCCAAACGCGAACATATTTGGCTGGAGAAAGGTAACAATGTTATCTTTTTTTTAATAAATTATCACTACCCTGTACTATTCTCTTAAGAGTATTTAAATATTTTAATTCAAAATTATTTTAAATCGTTGCGAAGGAAATATTCAAAATTAATGCCTACCCAATTTTTAAAGGGACGCCTTACTGGCGTCGCTCTTAGACGGCGTCCGGTCTGCCGGCCAGCGTGATGTCCATGTGCGTTCGGTACCAACCCCCCGAGGATACCGGTTGGGTCCATTACATCAGCCAGTTGAAGAAGAAACAGAATCCAATCATCTTAGGTTAGCATTTTACATATATAGTATGGTACATTAAAACTATTATTTATAATAATCTGTAAAAATAAAAGTGAATTATCAAATCTTTTGCTAAGCGCATAACTCGCAAATGGTTTGACCGATTCGGCAATTTTTTTTCATGTTTTCGTTGAGGCACGGGGAAGGTTCTTATGGAGAGAAAAATATGTAAAAGTTGCGAGGAAAATAGTAAAAAAAAACACTTTTCTTCTTCCATATAAACCACAGAGAAAATTAAAACAGCTGTCCCTAGCTGTCAAACATTTGAGGTCAACAAAAAAAAAAACAAAGGCAAGTTAGGATTATCTTTGGTATTCCTTTAAGTTGATTAGGCTGTAGGGATATCACTTTGAAATACGTTTTATTTATTTATTTCTTCTATTTATAATTTTGAGCGAACGAAGTCTGTCGGGCCAGATTGTTGAGAATTTAAAAAAAACAGCCTAAATCTCTTTACAGTGTTACACATTGCGTCGACCCCAAAAAAACTGTTAAAAAACAGAAAAGTGATGATAATGAACTATAACTTACATTATTATTTATTTACTCCAAACTACACAACATATTTTAATTATAACTATTATTGTAAATCATCCTTTATATTTACAGATTATTCCAAAACCCGGTGGGCATGTGTCGAACGGAGGTAATAGAGAGATTCAACGCGAACGTAGGCTACAGTGGCTTGATATATTCCGTCAGCCAAGACGTAAGACATTGCATTTAGTTCGCTGTGTAACTGCACAACATGCATACTTTATATTATATAACACTAATTACATATTTCAATTATCCTGCTAACTTTCCATGCTATTTGTAGTGTTTATCCATGTGATTTTTGCTTTCTTGAAGTGTTAGGAAAATAGTGTATTCAATGAATTTACACCTGCAGTTACCTAATTACATACTCCAGCACAACATTTTTGATATTCTACTAATAAATTGATATAGTTCTAAAATACCTTCAATTTAAAGTTAGTTATTAATAAAACAAGAATTATCAGATTTATTTGCTTCATTATTATCTTAAACAAATCAAGCTAAATCATCAAATTATATTCAAATAGGTATATTAAAATTATTATTTTGAATTATGAACGTTTGTCACAACTCTTAAAACTCAGTAACGTTAACATGAGACAAAATTAATAGCTGTTTTGTACAGTTCAAAATACGAACATTATGTGATGATAAAATGCATAAATTCATTATTTCTCCAGAACTTTTACACTTTTTTGCCTTTACGCTTTTATTTGATATTATATTTTGACATTTCTGGGGCATATTAATGTACCTTGTGTGCCTTTAGGCCCGTCCCCTGTTGTGGCTGTTTCTTACGTGGGATCTTGTAAGTTCCCTCTCAATTTATTATTTTACACTCTTACACTGCTACTTCTTTAGGTAAAGGGACTTAGTTCAATATATACCTACCAATCAAGTTTCTCTAATTTTCTCATACAGTTATTAATTTTTGATTAAGATAACATGGGTGTAGATCATCCTCATTGTCGTATGTAAATACCATATTGTTTGGAATGTTGTAAAATATTGTTCTTGTCTTGGAAAGTAATAATGTAGGTACTAATAAAATATGATTCGTTTGACGAGGTCTCGATGAGTGTCAGTGGATTATATTGAGTTAAGTGTAAAATAATCGTGATAAGCGTGACTAATTCATATTTGCAATTCTGAAGAAATTGTTCCTAATAATTATGAACACCTTTCTATCTATAGTTTATAAGTAATTTTCACATGACAAAAAAAAAATTCAAGACAGTATGCTTTTGTGAAATTTTTATTTTATTTCTTATGATACCTACCATAGTGGTGCTATTTCAATTTTTGTAAAAGTATATGTTAAGAACTACTTAATTCAGACGATAGTAAAACATTTTGAATTTATTGTCCTACTATTGACTGGGAGAATTTAAGTCACTAAAAGATTTAAATGACTTGCCTTACGTTATGAATACATTATATTTGTAAGTGGGAACTTATAAAAAGGATGACACAATTACTATAACATCAAGCACATGTATTAATAGGTTCTTGGGAAGAATGCGGTTAAGGGATCATTAAATAAGCTTTCTGATGTATTTATCTGAAATTTTCATTTTATTTTCCTCAATCGTTATATATTTAACATATCTCGTTGCACACTTTTCAATAGACATCTCGCTATTCTTCAGTTGGTACAACGTTTGTGCTACATGAACAATAGAGGAGCTCTAATATGTTCCTTGACAGCGTTTGTTCGCGGAAAACAAGGAGAAGTTAATCACCGGCGCGTTGAACGCGCTCGTGAGCAGCGCGCCGTCGGGTAACAACTTGTCGCACCGCGAACTCGAGGCGCAGTTCCACGCGTTGAGGCGGCTCTGCGCCAGTAAAGTGGGCTTTGCTGCGTTTACTGCGCTGCCTGGGTGAGTTATTTCTTGAGGCGATCTTATTTTGTAAATTCACATACAGTGTAATTTTAGATATAATAGTATGAGCTAATAGCGGCGGCGGTAAAATTGAATATATGTAAACAAATGTTCTAGAAAAATGCCGATTGACTTTCGCTAGGTCGGGAAACCGGGATTTCAAAGTCAGTAAAACTGAATAAGCGAAGATAAATGTACGGGAATCACAAACCGCTCTCCCGAAATCCGAATGAACTACTCGATTCGCACGCATAAGTCAACGGAATTTTCATTTATTTATTTCAAAAACAATAATTATTGTGTTGAAATTATATTTATGAAAAGTGTCTAATCAATCTAATCTAAATATATATAAAAAAGTCATCAAATAATGTCATGTAATTCATAATCAAATTCAAATACCCAAATTAAAATACATAAAAAGAAGAATAATTACAAAACGTTATTTCATATAATCATCAATTGAATAGAAACACCCATCAACAAGAAATGCCTCACGATTTGACTTAAATTTCGTTGCTTACACGGTACTTTTAATTGCCAAATAAATAAGTGCAGTCATTGCTTAGTTTTTTGACAAATAACAATGCCCGCTTATGTGTATAGCGACCCATATATGTCAACGGTTTACAATATCAGTACAGATTACAGATGTACAAAATAAATATATATAACAATGATATATTTGATACATGTGTGTGACGTGTGCGCTGTACACAGTTTCCGCGAGTGGATCGGCACGGCGACGGTGGCGGCGCTGCGGCGCGGCTCAACCGCGAGCGCGCACGCGGCGCTGGACGCGGTGTGCGCGCTGCTGCAGCCCATGCACGCCGAGCCCGACTTGCGCCAGGAGCAGCTCAACAAGGCCAGCATGCTCTCCTCCGCCACCTTCCTCGAGGGCCTGCTCAACATGTGGGCGGACCACGTCGTGAGTCTGCTGTAGTGTTCAATTCGATTTACAAGCGTCCATTAATTACGTGAGCTTAAACTTGGTGGAGGGGTTTACTGAAATATCATCAAACAACATTTTAACTTATATTCTAAAATGTTCTTTTATAAATTTTAGCATTTAATTTTTGTAAAACTCGAAGACATTAATGCCGCTTGTTTTAGGTGGCTTCTCAATATGTCTTGCGTTAAATATGTAAATTAAAATGTTTACACAATTGAAATCCCAATTCAACTTGGAACTGAAATATTAGTTTGGTAACGTTGTATGGTTTTTTACTGTACAAAAAAAAACCTTAATACTTATAGCTCAAATCATAGCGAGAGAGATTTGATGAGATTTCAGTTGCTCCACCAAGAGATCCAAATGTAAAGAAAACCAACATACGTAATTAATGGATACTCCCTGGATGATTAATGCATTTACTTAAGAAAGATAATAATTTTATTTATAATTTACACATAATCTAACATAGTTTTCTTTAATACAGACGGCAGGCAGTGGTGCATTAATAGTGGCAGCCATGTTGGATTTCTTAACGTTCGCGCTATGTGTGCCATACAGTGAAACAACAGATGGAAAGCAGTTCGATCAACTATTAGAAATGGTATCAAAAAAAGGTCGAGTCCTATTCAAGTTGTTTGAGGTGAGAGTTACCCTCGTAAATCTAAATGCTATTTAGTAAATAAACTACCAAGATTTCACAGGCCTGTTGGTCTTTTTTTCTTTCCCTTCCCTTGAAGGGAATTGGAAATTCCCTTCGGATCTCCGGCTCCTAGGAGACACAAGAGCATGAAGCATGTGGTGTTTCCACTAAAAAAGCACCCCAACGTAATGTAATTTCAGACCTATATAACCGCGGATCGACGCCGCACCTAACTAGGCCCTATTCCGATAAGAGCGGCCCGATCGCATTTTTGTGCAATCTGTTTGAGTACTTTTCTATGTAGATAATGTAAGATATAACTTTAACACAAACATTTATGTTTATGCGAATATTCAATTATGACCAGGCTATGAGTTTACGTTGTTCACTGAAAACATTTTTGAGATTAATTGTAATTACTGTATAAATATTAACAGCTGCATAACGTTAATGTATAATTTTCAGCATCCATCCATGGCCATCGTGAAAGGGGCTGGTCTAGTGATGCGTGCCTTGGTAGAAGAGGGAGGAGAAGGCGTGGGCTCCCGGATGCAGACTCTTGCGTTAGCCGAGGCAGCGTTACCGAGACACTTACTCGCCGCTCTCTACGCCCCAGCGAGATTACATCACAGACATTTAGCGAGACATTTGGTATCCTTGTGGCTTGTCGATCATGCGCCTGCGCATTGCCTACTGAGGAGGATCATGGTATATTGTATTGGCTTCTACTTACAACACAAAATAAAAACCTTTACTAGTGTGACAAATTAAGTTTCAAAATTTAATGTTTATGTTTACAGCCGTCAGGTCTTCTGGCCTTCTTGGAGTCCACTGAAGTGCCTCCAGCATCTGCATTAGAAAGTGAGCCAGAGCGCGACAATTTGCAGTTAGCACAGGCCAGCATGAAACCTCGTGCTCAACACTGGGAAGCGCTTGAACGTCAAGTCAAATACATAGAAAAACATGTAGAGGTTAGTTACTGCAAATGAACAAACTTGAATTAGGAACACTTCAAAAAATCTATGCATGACTACCTGGTACCTGCGACTTCTTTCGCGTGGAATTTGAAAAGAGCTGCCTTACTGGGTTCGATTCCCGAACCGGGCAAAATTTTAAAGGGTTTTTCTGAGAAGAAAAATAGCCTAGTTATTCTTTAAATAGACAGCTACGTGGTAGTAAAATATTATCAAAATCGGTCAAGCTGTTTAGAAGATTACCCGAACAAACGGACAGGTTTTAAACTGGTTTTTAGGCATAGGTATCGTGCAAATAACCGTGTAAACAAGAAATAACCCTATTATTTTGACATCACAAACAGACACTTAAATTTTATTTATTTGTACATATTAAACCATGAGCATAAACTCACACCTTATTCTTATCTGGTGTAGGTAGAGAGGAATTTTACCACAATCTCGACAAACAGCTGGGGGCCCCTTCTACATTCATTACCAAATTTTCATACGCGCTCGCCTGTGTTAAATATTATCGAATCTTTTCATCAATTTTGCATACTTTATTATATATTACAACACACTACTACACCCTGAATCCTAATTCCAAACTTAAAAAAATATCTTTCTTCGCGTCTGTCTTTTATCACTTGGGAGAGCCATGTTTCGATACAATACAGCAAATATAAAGAGGATAAGCAACTGTGCACTGTGATTCTAAGTAGGTAATGAAAAATAGTACCTTCAGCGTCCGTACTGGGCCTCAATTCTGCTATTTTATGTTCACGCCAAGCCAGTGTCATACCACTGACACGCTATTGAGATGCCATCGAGTGGCCATTGGCATCGGTATAAATATCGGTAGTTAAAAATATATTACGTTTTTGAGGAAATGATATATTTATTTTTATTATAATAAATTATTAAAAGAAATAAATAAATTAAAATAAATTATGAAAAATTAAAATATAAAAATTATAAAAAAAAGAAATAAATAAATTAAAATAAATTATGAAAAATTAAAATATAAAAATTATAAAAAAAAGAAATAAAAAAATATTGTCTAGTACCCATAGTACAAGCTCTGCTTAGTTTGGGGCTAGATGGCGTTGTGTGTATGTGGTAGAATATTATTATTATTATTTATTTTTTATACATAATCCTACACACACATATATATATATATAAATACTCAGTCGGGTACTAGCGTAGTGACTGTTCTGCTAATCCACTCTGAAGAGATCGCGCACTTTTCTCTTGAATGCAAGGCGGTTTGTGGACATCCTGAGTTGAATATTTATATTTTATAAATGTATATAAAGCAAAAGTCGTCATTTAATTACAGCACTACGCTCAATTAGCTCTCCAGCACTGGGCGGCGCGACTGGGTCGGCCGTCTGCTGAAAAAAGAGATGCGGCTAAAGATAGACCAGTACTCTTACGTAGAAGACGAGAGAGAGTGAAGTCAACGGCGAATTGGCCACTATTCTATTACCAATTCCATAAGGACCACGCGCTACCTAATCTTATATGGAACCATACGGTGAGTATGTACCCATAGACAGAATAGATAGCTTTAATAAGCTCTTTTCTTGGATCGTATCAAATATGATTAGGTACAGGGGGGTACGGGGGGGGGGTCGTCTACCTGTTGTAGATGGCCCGAGGTATGTCGGGGCACCAGGGACTTCCTTTCTAGGGTGTACCTGGTTCCCCGGCTATTAGTACCCGAGACGGCGTGCGGGTTTAGTCGGTTCGAGTCCGACATGCCACCGATGGCACCGATGGCACCATGGACGGTGGTATCCGAGGGGATTTCCGCACGGAAAAAAAAAGGTACAGGGGGGTATAAGGTATAAGGGTACAGCAGACAGTGGAAGTGAGCGCTGACGCGTCGCAAGGAGTACTCCCCAAACTTACTTACTCCTGGGTCGTAAGTGCCAGTCACTGTCGCAGACGCATGTGTTGCCCCAGCTATGTGTCTTACTAGTGAGTAGAACGAAGAATAAATGAGAAAATCATATACGAAAAGAATTCTAGTACTTTCAACACTTTTTATATGTTAAAACTTACAAAATATTTAAAGGTATATACATCTTCTCACTGCGATCTTCCTTATTCAGAAACGTACAAGTTATTATACTATGCACTTTCTATTTACATACTTTCATAAACGGGTGGCCCAATCAGGCCTCATTAATATTTCATAAAAAGTATTTCAATTGAAACCAGGCTGTCTGACATTTTACCTAATATAAATCTTAGATATTGAGCAACAAAAATATTAATGTTACTACTGAAACACATTGACTGCTTTGCTGCTGTGAAGTTGATGCGAAAGAGATTTTCACCAATTGCTATAACTTACTATTCCTTTCATAGCTTAGTTTTAGCAACTTAAGTTTTCTTGTTTATGTCAGACGCGAGAAGAACTACGAAACGCCTTAGAGAATGAACTCCGTGCATTCACATCAGATCGGGAAGTGGCTGGCACCACCTTAACGTCGTGGAATCACGCAGAGTTAGAGGTTCACTACCAATGTTTACAGAACGAGGTGAAGATAGGTGACTACTATCTCCGCATATTGCTGGAGCAACGGGACAATGACGATAGTCCCATTAGGAAGTCGTGAGTACACTATTATGTAATTTACCTGCGATTGAATTATAGTCTGATGTCTGTTCATCATCATCACCATGATCATCATCGTCTTCGTCCAGATCGTTGATAGCCAATATTAAATCACTCAACAGTGAGTTACTACATACCTAAGTGTATATGAGTCTTCTCTTTGGCTTTATAAAATAATCCTAATTGGTGAAGTGTTAAAAGTAAAATGTAACCATAAGATTCACATTAAAAAAAAAAGTTAATTTGGGATTAGATTACATTGATTAATTTGGTGCAAATATTAAATGCGTAAAAATGTCTATTGTCAATGTCTAATTTTGGTCTGGGTATGTCGTATAATAATTACGTAATATGTAAGTAATAATAATTATCTGTGTTTTAGAAATCATTTTACCAGCTCAGATTAGTTTAGGGTCTATGACTACATTGTTTGCTAACTTTTAAATTTTGTCTTTTTCAGATACGAGTTCTTCAACGACTTATATCATCGGTTTTTGTCGACACCGAAGATAGAAATGAAATGCATGTGTTTGCAAGCAATGAGCATTGTCTATGGGAGGTACTTTGAAGACATTGGGCCTTTCGCTGACACCAAATACATTGTGCAAATGTTAGACAGAGTAAGAATATAAATTATGTTTTTTTGATCTTCTCATTAGTTTTAAGATTTAGCCTATATTTTTAGAGGCATTATAACTCTGAATAAATCGTTAATTGTTTTAGACGTGCGATAGAATGGAAAGAGACCGACTGGTGCAATTTTTATCGAAACTTATCCTACATAGAAGAAATGTTAGCGATATATTAGAATGGAATGGTATTAGGTAAGTTATTGTATCATTAATAATCTACTTTCCTCATTTGTAAGTATTATACAGTAAATTCTATTTGACATTATGCATGTTTACCATATGACTATACGAAACAAAGTTGGAATGTATTCGCTTCATTTCTGTACGGATGCCTGAGTGGTTCAAGCAGTCATCTCGCCGCTTTCTACTGCGCTAAGTGTTTTGGGTTTGATCCCCACATAGAAAAACACCTTGTATGATCAGCAAATTGTTGATTTGAGTGTTCTTTTGTCCATTTCATGAATGTTTGTAAAGTTCCCCGCTCCATACGATATATTCCCAGTGCGGGAATGGTCTCTATTGATAAAAAAATCAGAGTTTAAGCTCTGTGTGTTTAAGAAAAAAGTAAAGAAAAACTAAAATATCCTTCCATCTATGGCTGTCTCATTAAACAGAATTTCAAAACTCAGGTATTTATTTTTCTATTTTATTATTTTATTTTACTATTTAATTGCGTTCGTAATTTTGTAGTAGTTTTGAATAAAAAATAAAACTTCTATTTCAGCCAGTTACGGATAAGAAAGAAACCTGGTTACAAAACTTAGTTGCTATCATCTAAATTAGCTTCAAATTAATCAGTATAAAATATGTGATTAATGTTTAAATAAAAATGTACCACTAAAGTCTAGTCCTTTATTTTCAGGATTTTAGTAGAGTTAATGACGTTAGCTCATTTACACACATCGCGGGCGACAGTCCCGGCCCAAAGCAATGTCATCGAGGGCCCGCGGGAGCAGCCCACGGGGGATCGAGAGTGGTACTATAACGTGGAACAAGGCGACAAGGTGCAGAGGAAGGGGCCTGTCAGCTTTCAACAGGTAAAAGTGCAAGACCAATCCATGAAAGCAATAGTAAATATACAGACAGTTTACTCAAATTTTATTTAATCGCTAAGTGAGCATTTCTTTTTCTCATTTTAAATTTACATTACGTCATATCAGGTAGTAGTAGTCTGTAGTAAAGTATCTGCATAAATTGTAATTTTAAAATTAGTGTCCTTGTGATTGGGAATTTAGATATACATAATACATCGATATTTATCAGTTATTAAAATAAAACTATATTGTAAAGTGAAAGTTTAGTAAATCATTTTCTTTTTAGACAAATCTAATCTGAGCTGTAAGTCATTAAGTATACTGTGACAATTATAATGAGGACAGATGTATTTTTTTACCCACAGCTAAAAGACCTGTATAAATCAGGTGAGATCAATAATAAGACAAAGTGCTGGGCGAACAGTATGGAAGGGTGGAGGGCGGTAGGCGGCGTCGCTCAGCTCAAGTGGACGTTGACCTCTCGCGGCACTCCCGTTTTGGACGAGAGTGCACTAGCTGCTACTATACTGGATTTGCTCATTACTTGTTGCAGATATTATCCAAGCAGGTACTCCACTTAAATGTTGTTATTTATATTATATTTTTACATATCAAACACATATTAAATTACATGTCTACATATTCTGTAAAAATATATATACTGTGTTACTTTAATTATAAATTTACTATAATATCTTGTTTTTATTACAAGGAAAATCCAAAGATGACTGATTGACTGTTGACGTATAACTTAAATAGTACTTATGTTGTTCTAATTTTTAAAGTGTAACATCTCCCGCTTTGCTGCAATCTGTGGGAGTGATGTCGTTAAAAAGGACGAAAGTGTGTAACAGGAAACCGTTGCAGATGGCAGATGTTACATATCATATGCGACGGCTCACTTGTTTATAAGTGATAGGGTCTAGTATAAGTTTCATCATCATCATCAGCCTATCGCAGTCCACTGCACATAGGCATCTCCCATTGAGTGGTGTGAGTTTATCTCGCATCAACTCGATCGTCACGGTGACGGCGTTCGGCGCTGCGATTGGCCTGCACTGAAATCTTTACCAATTGATTTCAAATAAACTCACGCTAGGCTCTCTGTCTTAATTTGAATTGAATTTACTGAAGGAGTCATGTTCCATAAACACAAATCTGTATTCAAAGTATCAATATTTTTTAAACTTGCAGTATTTTTAATTTATAGAGACGAAGAAGATGCAGTAATACGACCGCTACCAAAAGTAAAGAGGCTTTTATCAGAACCGGCTTGTTTGGCGCATGTCGTACAATTATTACTTACCTTTGACCCCATATTAGTAGAAAAGGTGTGTATATACATAGATAACATTTTTTAACATAATTCACCCAAAATTGTTTAACGCATTTGGATTGCTATACCTGTTTATTCTACAACGGAAAAATGGTTCAGCATTGGTTCTTATTGGATAAAACGAGAACATAGTCAGTAGTTAAAGCAAATTTTAGAAATCAAAACTATCTGACCAAATTGTATGTTTTGATGACTTACGAAATTATAGATGTAATGTGTGTTTTTTAACTAAACGAAGAGCTTCCTGAGTTATTTGGTACACTCTCTATAATATCTATATATGTCAACATACAAGACTAATTGCATTGCAATTATTACAAAATATCCTGTACAGTACCGTATACCATTACAATAATGAAATAATTGTTTTCAAATATTATGAATATTAAAAAGTTGTGTACTAAACGATTGTTTTTATATTTCAGGTAGCAACACTTTTATACGAAGTAATGCAAGACAATCCTGAAATCTCAAAACTGTACCTGACCGGCGTGTTCTACTTCATGTTACTATACACTGGATCAAACTTACTCCCCATTGCGAGGTTCTTGCGACTGACACACATGAAACAGGCGTTTAGAGCTGATACGGTATGTCCATTTACTGTTACTAGCTAGCTATACATCGTAGTTTCAACTAAGGAACTAATTCCATAATATTATTGGCAAAATGTTGTGATTGATAACCAGCTGTGATTGAAAACCAGCTGTGATTGATAACCAGCTGTGATTGATAACCAGCTGTGATTGACAACCAGCTGTGATTGATAACCAGCTGTGATTGATAACCAGCTGTGATTGATAACCAATTTTCACAATTTTAATATTTGATCAGCTGCTACAGTAAGCATAAGAAAATAAGTTGGGAGCCGGAGCCGAATAGAAAAAGGTCAGCCGTGAGGTGATCCGTGCTTTTTATCGGTGCGGTGAGGTGTGAGGGAAGCGGGGGACCGAGTCCCAATTGTTTTAATAGTGGTTTAAGCGGTCACCACGCCGCTTCCTACTACGCCGAGTGTTGTGGGTTCAAACCCCACATGGGACGACACTTTGTGTAATCCACAAATTGTTGTTCTGAGTCTGGGTGTTCTTTGTGTCCGTTTCATGTATGTTTGTAAAGTCCCCCGCGACACAGGATTTATTCCTAATGCGGGAGTTGTCTTTTTTAAAAAAGAAGATAGAAAGAAAGACAAGACGCCTGATTGTATAATTTAGAGAAGATTACGTAAGAATTGTAACATTCTTGTGACATTTGTACTATTCTATGCACTATACACCACAAAATTCTGAAGGAACATATATTTAGAGGGAGCTTTTATTTGCAAATGCTTTGTAATTTAACAGTTTTAGTGCGAAACTCTAAAAACATAAGATTTTTCAACATAATAATTTAGTTCAAATACATTCAAAGCGCAATAAGTAATTTGCAAATTCTTTTATTCCGGGATTTTATCGTCAAATTTATGATAGGGATTTTAGCGGAGGTAATCAACTCTGTGTTACTTACTTCTTCGTACTTTAGGCAAATATACTTTTCCTATTCTCATCTCTATTATTATATAGGGCAATAGAAGGATGCAATCTTATCTATCTTTTTTGTGATGTACAGTCTAGTTCAGACATAATGCAGCGTTCAATCTTGGGTCAGCTGCTACCAGAAGCTATGGTGTGCTACTTAGAGAATCATGGCGCCGACAAATTTGCGCAAATATTCCTCGGCGAGTGGGATACACCAGAGGCTATTTGGAATTCTGAGATGAGGTATGATTCTTAAAAAATATCGAATTCATACTGTCCACATTCCAAAAAATTCTCATCATTAGCATATTTAAACTCACAAAAAACTCTTTGTCTTCATTATATTTTGCAAAGTTGATTGCAATTATATAATGTTTTTCTTTACATCGCTTGTTATAATGTCATAGCTTTTGAATCACCGGCATGTTAACCAGCAGTGTATCATTAACGCGTGTTCCGTGTCGCCAGGCGCATGCTGATAATGAAGGTGTCGGCGCACATCGGCGAGTTCACGCCGCGGCTGCGCGCGCACATCGCGGCGCGCTACCCGTACCTGGCCATCCCCGCCGTGTGCTACCCGCAGCTGCAGCACGAGCTCTTCTGCAACATGTTCTACCTCCGCCATCTGTGCGACACGCTCAAGTTCCCCGACTGGCCCATACCGGATCCGGTAATTACTTTAAATAACTAGTTATTACCCGCGCCTTCGCTCGCGTTCAATTATTTTTCTGGATGAGAGATATTTGAGTTTTTTACAAACACCGCGACGAGAAAATCCCAAGACAAGCTTTTATATCATAAATCGATTAATAAATCGAAGTATTTGATTAAGTTAATTTTCTTCTTTTAAGAGTATTTAAATATAAGCTTGTTTTTTTAAATGTTTTTCAATTATTATTGGTGGGTTTGCCTTAGTGTTGACATTTAAATGATCATAAACTTCATAAACTTAGATTAGATATTTTCCATGAAAACATTTTTTTTGTGTGAAACAAAAATATATGTTAGGTTATTATGTTTTTGAAACACACAACAACACACAAACACAATCTAGTTATATAAATACACATAATTTTGATATATTTTTTATTAATAGGTGGGTCTGCTGAAAGACGTCCTAGAAGCTTGGCGGCGCGAAGTGGAGAAGAAGCCCCCGTCCATGACGGCGGGCGAGGCGTACGCCGCGTTGGGGCTGGCGTCGGGCCAGCACGACGAGGCGGCCGTCAGGAAGGCCTACTACCGCCTGGCGCAGCAGTTCCACCCCGACAAGAACCCCGAGGGACGGGTGAGATATCTTTGCAATTTAAATATATTTATAAATTCGAAGCGGTAAGAATTGATAAAGGATATACGTTAATATCATTAAAACCTACCTATTTGCCGCCGGATTGTCGGCGACAACCACGCTGTGATAAAGAATTAATAGTTCCTTTATGAATATGTTATTTGCTTTACTATTAATGTATAACTTCTTCATTGTTCGATTTGGTCAGGATCGCTTCGAAGCTGTAAACCAAGCATACGAGTTCCTGTGCAGTCGCAACGTCTGGACGGGCGATGGACCCAATACCAACAATATTGTGCTCATATTGCGCACACAGACTATACTATTCCAGAGGTATTCGGAAGGTGAGTACTCAAAGTATTTAAAAAAGGCTTGTCAAATAATATGAGAGTTTTATATTGATGCGCAAAATCTTTCCTTTCGCTTATCTGCAACAGGTAGGAACGATTTCGTGACAAGGGACGGAAGTGTGTAACAGGAAGCCCAGCAGGTTATTTGGTTTGACCAATGAGCGTGGCACAGAGCTAGAGTAAGCCGTCTGATGCTAGGTCACATTTCAGATGACACACTTCATATTCAATTATTGTATCGTTTCGTATCTTTTTTTGTAATAAAGTATACCTAAAACTAATAAAGATGATTTAAATGATTAGTGGAATATAATTAATGAAGTGATATACATCCACAGTTTTGGCGCCATACAAATACGCGGGTTACCCGCAGCTACTCAGCACGGCTCGATTGGAAGCGGAGGCGGAACAGCTGTTCGCAGCGCGAGATGCGGCACCGCTACTGCCCGCCGCCTGCGAGCTCGCGCACGCCACCGTACGCTGCTCGGCGCTCAATGCGGAGGAGCTGCGGCGCGAGGGAGGGTTACAGGTAATGTGGTGATAATTTCTACTTTTCTTTAAAGCGAACCTTTCCCTTTAATTATATTTCAAAATTTGCCGTTAATTGACGGGCCTGTTGGTCTAATGGTTAGTGCCCCTGACTGCTAAGCTGGAGGTCGTGGGTTCGATTCCCACCCAAGACAAATATTGTGTGATGAGCATGATCATTTGTTCTGTGTCTGGGTGTAATTTATCTAAAATATGTATGTATTTAAAAATATATAAGTATGTTTATCAGCAGTCTGGTTACCATAGCACAGGCTCTGCCTAGTTTGGGATCGGACGGTCGTGTGTGAGATGTGTGAGGTATATTATTATATTATATATATAATTTAACCTCTGCCTAGACGACGGCAGTAGGCCTGCTTCCCATTGCGTGAGTGAAACCAAAATATAGTTAGCCAAATGTGGGTTTTTGTGTGTGTAACGCGCTTCTGTATGGCGGGATACGTACGTGCGTGTATATATATGAATGTGAAACACATAGCTAAAATTATTTCAAAGAAGAATGTCTCGTGGTGCAGGTGTTGCATGAGGCGATGTCGCGCTGCGTGCCGGTGCTGTCGGAGGCGAGCAAGGCCAGCGACATGAGCGCTCTGGTGTGCGGCCACGCGGCGCGCTGCTTCGCCGTGGCGGCCGCCTTCCCCGCCTGCCGCGCCGTCTGCGCAGACATGCCGCAGCTCTGCGCTGACCTCGTGCCGCTCATCAGGAGACCGGTTTGTAAACCATCATTGCTTGTTTTGCTGTTGAAGGGAGCAATAATTTTTTTAAGGAACTTCCTGTAGTAAAATAATTTAGGCAATAGCCAGTCGAGTCGAGTAATGTTTGTTTTGGGTCACATGTTTATAAATTCAATTACTTACTTTCGACGCTTTCAATTTTTATCTGTTCTACAAATATGCGAAATATGAACACCGTAAAAAACTAAAGAAAGTGTGAATTTTCTTATTAGTTTTCGAATATTCCATGCCCTTCGTGCATTGAAATATTACCAGAGAAATAAACTAAATAATTGATGGTTAACTTGCCACAATAAATGGGAGTTTTAAATGTAAACCTGCCACCCTGCAGCATTTGGGTGAGACGGCGTGCGCGGGCGCAGCGGCGGTGGCGGCGCTAGCGGCGGAGGAGGCGTGCCGCTCGCAACTCGCCCGCGCTGGGGCCCTGCAGGCGCTGCTGCCCGCCGCCCTGCGCTACGACTACACGCTCGCCGAGTCGGGCGTCGAAACCGATGGCAACGTCAACAAGCAGGTACAAATCGTTCAAATTAAGAAAAAAAATTTTAGATACCTAGTACGTTTGAATTGACGAGTCAGTGCGAGTTAAGACCGAAAGCCGTTTACTGTCCAGACTATCAGAAAATTGAATAAGGACCAACGTAAAAACACTTGTAACGAGCGTATATGAAGATTTTACGAATGTGAAAGAGGCGCAGGTCACAACAGGAATAATTACTTGTGTTAGTTGAACATTTAGTATAATTAAATATCTGTCTTGTGTGTCTTTGCATCTTAGTATGTTTATCCATGTTCTATGCTGACTTGGGACTTGACTGGAGCGCCATATAATACCTATGTCCGATTATGTTATTCTTCGTATAATTGCAGGAAATAGCAAACCAACTAGCAAAACAGTGTGTGATGGCGCTAGCGGCGATGTACGGGCCGCACGCGAGCTCCTCAGAGATGGACAATCGTATCCGCAGCGCGCTACATACCTTGCTCACGCCATATCTCTGCAGTCGACTTGCCGAACCCGACCAGCACGAGGTTGGTATACTATACACAACTACATCCTGATCAGAAAAAATACATATTTCATACTATACATTGTTATTTAACAAAAAAACTTAGAAACTTACAGTATCTAAATACTTGTAGTATTGTACCAACATAATATTAATTTAAAAAAAAACAATGTACCAAACCGAGTCAGATAACGTAACGTAACGGTAAAAAAAGTAACGGTGTATAAAATGTGTGCTTTTAGTTATTGAAAACACTCACATCGAACTGGCGCACGCCTTACCTGGTATGGGACAACAGTACCCGAGCGGAACTTAAGGATGTGTTGCGTAACTGTCGCGCGACTCTGGACGACGAGGAGGCACCGCTCGTCGAACCGTTCACATACTCAGCGCACGAGGGACTTGTGTCTGTCGGACTAGTATACATCGATATTTATAATGAGCAGCCCGACTTTCCTATTGAGGTAAGAGTGTTTCTTAGTTATTTAAACTTCGCACATGTCTTCTTGGCAACTTTCCAAAGTCAATTTTCCTTTCAAACTAATTTCTAAAATGCCTCGTTTGAATGTTTGATATCATGCCCCGCGAGTCTAGAATCGTATATGCTTGGCGACCTATATCAAACAAGACCAAACGCCACTTGCGTCACCACTGGGCCTAAACCGTTTAAAGCATTGCCGCGACGATAAGTTTATTGGGATAAACGTTTATAGCGACAACTACTGAAAACTAGCCGAACCATATAATGATACTGATACTATATCGTGCAATGGAAGTTCTCTCTTGACTTTGTAGGAGGCAATCTTTGTGCGTTTATGTTCTGCTGAAGCAACACTTGGCTATATTTTGGACCGATACTTCTCTTATAGTAGCATAGAGGGGCATGTGATGCGATGCGGGTTTTCCTTGATTTGATCTGTTCAGTAAAAAAAAATATATGTGGGAATGATGTTATTAATCGATTGTTTTGGTTTATTTTGTCTGTGATTTGGTAGCAACACTAAGATAGATAAAAGAGTAGAGGGAGATTTATGTCATGTGTTTGACGTGTGTTGATTTGTGAAAGAAAAATACAGAATAATAGTTAAAACGGACTTTCTTTGGGTAAATATTCCTACAAAATATGGGGGCTCGTCCGGGATACCGAAGAAATATGAAGTTTTAATTATTCGTGAAGACTGAGAAGATTTCAAAATTTTTCGTGAGTGAGGAAATCTTCGAGAGAAGACGCCATTACAGTACAGGTACCTACTGTTTTACCGACAGAGCTAAACTAGGATTGAAAAGACGCCATTGTGGTACTACAACTACTGTTTTACCGACGGAGTTACAGACGAACTTCACACCTGTCTTAATAGGGTTGTCATATGAAGAATGAGTTTCCCATAAAGTTACGAATGAATCGATTTTCATATCGATTAAAGAAGTAAGATGTAAACTGAAGAAGTTATGTTATGATTTGATATTTTGAAGACTGTTACTTTATATGAAGACGTTCCTATTCTTGGACCAGAGAATATTTTAAAGACTATCTTAAAGACTGAAGATTTATTTTAAAGAAGATGCCGCCACAGAAAGAAAAGGAAGAGACTACACCTGAACTCTCGTTCAGCGACGTGGAGAAGTCTATGTCTGCTTTTAGTGGAGACAACAATTACTCAATTGAAACCTTTATTAATGATTTTGACGATATCGCCAAGCTGATGGAATGGGGTGAGATACAAAAACTAATCTACGCCAAGCGCTTGCTGACTGGAACTGCAAAGCTTTTTCTAAGAACACTAAGTAGTCCAAAGACATGGCTAGAACTAAAGACTGCATTAAAAGAAGAATTCGGCTCAAAATTGAATAGTGCTGCCATCCACAAAAAATTAGCTACACGTAAAATGAGAAATGATGAGACTTACCAACAGTACTTTCTAAATATGAAATCAACACACAATCTGTACTTTTCATTTTTTCTCTTATTTTTTTTAACAAGAAAATTATTAAAGAAAGATTCCCACTGCCTTTGATAGAAGATCAGATAGATCGTCTAAAACACGCTAAGTTTTTTACATCACTTGACTTACAAAATGGTTTTATGCACGTTGATGTTGCCGACGAAAGTCAGAAGTATACCTCATTTGTGACGCCTCAGGGCCAATATGAATTTATTAAGATGCCTTTTGGACTTTCAACAGCACCAAGTGTTTTCCAGAGATTTGTGAACGATGTTTTTCAAGAATTAATTAACGATGGTACAGCGTTGGCGTACTTAGATGACCTTATCCTGCCCTCAGTGACAGAAGGAGAAGGTATTGCTAAACTAACGAAAATATTTCGAAGAGCAGAAGAATATGGCTTAATTTTTAATTGGGAGAAATGTCACTTCCTAAAATCAGAAATAAACTATCTTGGTTACATTGTTCGTGAAGGAGAAATCAGACCGTCGAAAGAGAAGATAAACGCTGTTGCAAATTTTCCCGTCCCGAAGAACATCAAAACTCTTCAATCATTCCTAGGGCTTACGGGATATTTCAGAAAATTTGTCATGAATTATTCACTAATAGCTAAACCTCTCACTGAATTACTGAAGAATGGAGTCGTATTTGATTTTGATCCAAATTGCCAGAAAGCGTTTGAAGAGCTTAAACATGTTCTATGCAGTTCACCTGTTTTGAAGATTTATGACCCAGAACTTGAAACTGAAGTCCATACGGACGCAAGTGCCGACGGTTATGGAGCCGTATTGCTCCAAAGGTGCCCTAAAGACAAGAAGATGCACCCTGTCTATTACATGAGTAAAAAGACTTCGATAACTGAGAGAAAGTATCACAGTTACTACTTAGAAGTCCTAGCTATTGCTGAGGCAGTAAAGAAGTTTCGGGTTTATTTGCTCGGAATAAAATTCAAAATTGTGACTGATTGTGCTGCACTAACGATGACTCTGCAAAAGAAAGATTTACCTCCCAGAGTAGCAAGGTGGGCTCTACTTCTTGAGGAATATGATTACCAAATTGAACACCGACCTGGAACAAGAATGAAACACGTAGATGCGTTGAGTAGACATCCTGTAAAAAACGTAGTGTTACTCACTGACACCATTGCACGACTGAAGAAAGCACAAGATGAAGACCTGAAAATAAAATTAATAAAAAAGGTTTTAGAAAAAGAAGCATACGAAGACTTTGTTGTAGAAAATGGAGTTTTATTAAAAATAAAAGAAGGAAGAAAATTACTAGTGTTGCCAAAAAAGATGCAAAATGAAATAATCAGAAAATATCATGAAAAAGGTCATTTCGGAGTTATTAAAACAGAAGAACTTATAGAAAGAGAATATTATGCTGAGAATTTAAAAGAAAAGATAAAGTCTGTAATAGAAAACTGTGTCAAATGCATACTAGTATCTCATAAAAAAGGAAAGAAAGAAGGATTTCTAAACTGTATTGATAAAGGAGATAGACCTTTGTCTACTTACCATATCGACCACTTAGGACCGTTGACGTCCACTAACAAGCATTACAAGTATTTGTTTACTGTCGTAGATGGCTTTACAAAGTTCACATGGATTTACCCAACAAAGAGTGAACAAAACCGAAGAAGTGTTAGACAAATTAAAGCTGCAACAGAAAACTTTCGGATCACCAGAAAGAATAATTAGTGACCGAAATGCCTCATTTACCTCTAATGCATTTAAAGAATATTGTGAAACAGAAGGGATTGCTCATCACACAATCACTACTGGGCAACCTAGAGGTAACGGACAAGTAGAGAGAGTGCACCAAACCATAATCAACGTATTAAGTAAAATGAGCTCTGAAGATCCTACTAAGTGGTATAAGCATGTAAACGAAGTTCAAAGATGCCTTAACAACACATACCAACGGAGTGTAAAGACTACACCTTTCGAACTCTTGACTGGAACAAAGATGAGAGATAGAAATGACGAGATTCTAAAGCTGATAGAAGAAGAAAATATAGAGAATTTTAACGAACAAAGAGAAGAGTTACGCAAGAATGCTAAAGAAAATATTCAGAGTATTCAAGAAGAGAATAGAAAAGGCTATAATCGAAAACGCAAAGAAGCAAGAGAGTACCAAGTTGGAGATCTTGTGGCCATCAAAAGAACACAGTTCGTTCAAGGCTATAAACTGTATCCCAAATATCTCGGCCCATACGAAATTGTGAAGAAAAAAAGAAACGATCGATATGATCTGAAGAAAATTGGTTCAGGCGAGGGACCGATAAACACATCTAGTTCCGCCGATATGATGAAGCCATGGAGTTCATGTGATAATTCTACCGACTCATCTGAGGCAGATGAGTAGCAGGATAGCCGTGTGGGAATGATGTTATTAATCGATTGTTTTGGTTTATTTTGTCTGTGATTTGGTAGCAACACTAAGATAGATAAAAGAGTAGAGGGAGATTTATGTCATGTGTTTGACGTGTGTTGATTTGTGAAAGAAAAATACAGAATAATAGTTAAAACGGACTTTCTTTGGGTAAATATTCCTACATATATATATTATAGTTAATATATAGGGGAAGGAAGAAGTTATAGACGTGAAAATCACGATCAAAGATTTCGTTATAGAGACTGACCAGGCTAATAAAAAGCTGAATAGATTATGGCACATAATATTTAAATTTTTGTCATGTTGTCTATTTATTTGGCAGAATCCACAACAGTTTATACTCGAACTTCTGAAATTTATACAAGATCAGACACAGGGCGACTTGACCACGGAGAGAGTGACCCACGTGACGTATGCACTTACATCTTTGGCCAACGTTATTATCAAGAACCCTGGTAAGACTTGTTGTATATTACGTCTTTTTGTTTATAACCAGCTGTTGCAAATCAATATCTGGTAAAAAGTCAACTAGTGGCTACCAGCACTTGATCATTTTTTTCAAAGACTGTATGGTTCGTTTGCAGGCGTAGAGATCCAATGCATCGGTCAGTTCGGATTGATCTTCGGGCTGCTGTCGGCGCGCGCGCACCCCTCGCTGCAGCAGGCGGCGCTGCGCGTGGTGGTGGCGGCGGGCGGCAGCCGTGAGTGTGTGGAGGACGTGGCCGCGTCGCACGTGCTGGGCCATCTACTGGCGCTGCTGGGCGCGCGCCCCCCTCCGCCCGACATAGTGCCCGCCGTGGCCGCGCTGCTCGCCAACACCGCGCTCGTCAAGGAGGCGCTCACTAAAGGTAGGACACCAATACATCTCTCACATCGCTATCGATTTCACTGCCACATGACAAAAAATTGCATACCTTTAGTGTATGATACATTATTGTTCTCTGTTCTACCATGATTACGAACGAAGATTTTTATACTATATTTTGACCCTTTAAAATAAATAAAAGTCAATAAAATTTATTCACTTTGCCTGGAAATTCTATTACAATCTTAACTATAATCCATTCGAGTTAAGAAAATAGTGACGCGTCTATCAAGCCCCGCACCCTGACCATTCAGGTTCGAAACGATGATTTCTTGAAACCCGATTGATCGAGGGGCGGGACTTGATCATTGCGTCACTATTTTCTTAACGCGAAAGGACTATGTTAGTTAAAATTTTGAAGAAGCGTTAAACTTTTTAACAAACTTGAATGATTAAATTTTAACCGATTTGCCGCTATTTATTATTAATTATACAGTTGCATTAATATCTTCGTCATAGAAGTAAATAATTAAATCCATAATTTTACTAGCGCCAGTACTGATAAAAATATTATATTTTGCCTAGGTGCTGTTATATACCTATTAGATTTATTCTGCAATAGTAAGATACCAGAGACGAGAGAAGCGGCAGTGGAACTGCTCGCACGAATGATGGCTGACAAGTTACATGGACCTAAGGTGAAAATACAACACACATTTACAACTTTGAGTTAGCGACGTGCAAAAATTAGAAAGTGACCAACGTTTATTTTGAAATAAACGCTTTTATTAAGTTAATGTGCAATAAAACCGCAAAAACGACTACGATATTAAGTTGAAATCTGATCCAAAACGTGCGAATAAAAAAAAGGCTAGTGGCTTAAATAATATTTATTATAGACAAAATTTGTTTGAATTGCTCAAACGCTTTTTGGACTCTTAGGTGGATCATCGTATTATGCTTGATTTTTTAAGCGATGAACTTGATTTCGAACGTTTTCAGTTTGATGAGAAATAAACCGACTAATTATACTTATGAAACATGCATTTTGACTGTTCGTTGTCTAGACTGTTGAGTCTGGGTAAACTCGTGGTCATGTCAGTTTAAGATGGTGATGATACAAAAAAATAAAGTAATACATAAAGATCAAGGTAAATAAAAATAAAGGGTATTGTTTATTTTTCTTTGGAACTGGTTTACATCTAAAGTCATAGTAGCCAAAATATGTACCAATTTGAATATATTTTAACACTTATGATCTCTTGAGGCATACTGAACAAAGCCCGTAATGTGGTAAACAAACTGCTGATAAACAAAAGTACCTTTATATTACTAAATATAAACATTTTATATATAAATTACTTTCACATTAAGAACAAAAATGGTTTCCTTACAATATATGACGCAACAGTTGAGCTAACACGTGGTGGATGTACCAGGTGCGGCTGACAATCTCGCGCTACATCCCGGGCGTGTTCGCGGAGGCGATGCGCGAGTCGGCGCCGGCCAGCGCCGTGCACATGTTCGACGCGCAGCACGAGCACCCCGAGCTCGTGTGGAGCGACGACACGCGCACGCGCCTCGCCGCGCACGTCGCGCAGCTCCGGGACAAGTCAGTCGCTCACCTCCATTTTTTTAAACTCGAAATCCGAATTACTTACAAAAAAGAAACACTACTTTCTATTCTTCATGACATTAATTTTAAATAAAAATGTTTTACGATTATCATACGTGATTTATCCTAAGAAGATCCTAATCAAAAGCCAACGATTGAATTACTTAAAAAAATATAGTAAGAATCCGTTCATAAATTACGTGACACTAATTTAATGAATTTTAATCCTACCTCCATCCTTTACGTGTTGTAACGCCCTAGTTTAACGTCATATATTAAATAAAAACAACAGTTAATAATTTTGAGAATATTTTTTAGTTTCTCTTTTAGAGTTTGTCTTTTCATACTTTGACATGTGACTTGATTTTTTGATTGTTTAGCTTATGTACGGTCTCTAAGGTCACGATTCTTTATCGCTGATTATGAGCGAATATCTTGATAGTAAAATTGTTGTTATTATATTTGTTATAAATGCTAGCAATATCCTTAAAATATATTGAAATACAGCATAAGTACAGGTAATAATAATTTATCATGTTGCCATTATATCAGTACAATTATTTCCTCAAACAGACATCAAAGCGATCAACTTCGCGACGCAAACGTTGTGTTCGAAGATCGAGAAACAATAGAGCGGTGTGCGGCCGGAGAACAAACGTGGGCCCCTCCCGGAGAAGTGGTCGTCGACGGAGTGTACCTCAAGCTTTATCTTCAGAACCCTCACTGGAACCTAAGAAGTCCTAAGAGGTTCCTACAGGAGTTACTGACGGAAACTGTTACATCGCTCAACAAGGACTCTTCAGAGGTTAGTGTAGTGGGTATCCGAACCGTTATTAAGAAGCGAAAGGTGTTTGTTTCGTCATTACACTTTAATTATTTAATTATAATAGAATCTGCATTAATAAGTCCGAAGTCTCGGGCAAAAGCGGTTAAGTAGTGTGGGAGATAATCGATCGTGTGTGTTCATAGGGTAGCCGAGGCGAGACGTGCGCGCGCGCACTGTGCGCGGTGCTGACGTCGCGGCCGGCGCTGGGCGACACGTGCGCGCAGCTGGGCGAGCTGCCGCGCCTGGCGCGCCTGCTGGCCGTGGCGCCGCGCCTGGCCGTGCCCATCATCGCCGCGCTCGCCGTGTCTCAGGTACGACCCGCCCCTATATACGTATTATTAACGATAAACAATTCGTATGTCATTCATGGGAGCCACATTATTCTCTAAATAACAACAAAACGTTGACAAGCAACTTCTTCAAGATTTTTAAAACACTTCTCCCTCTGGACCGCATCCAACGAAAAGTGACTCGAATCGTCGATAGCCCAAACATCTCCGATCGGCTCGATCCCTTGGCGTTACGTAGAGATGTGGCTTCACTCTGCATTCTCTATCGCATATATCATGGAGAGTGCTCCGAGGAATTGTTCGGACTAATGCCAGCCGCAATTTTCCGCAATCCGCCGCAAATTTACCTGGATAGTTGGCGCTCCACTACTGTGCGCTTTTCGATACACTTTTTGCCCCGCACAACCAATCTGTGGGACGGGTTATCGTCTGCGGTATTTCCGGTATTTCCGTACTCCTTCCTAAAAGGCCGGCAAAACGTTTGTGACTCCTAAGTTGCATGCATGCATGGTACAATACAATATTGCATTATGCATTGCTTATGATCATACTCAATGGAAGAGTTAATATAAGAACGTGTTTTTTTTAATAAGCCTTCATGGTAATTTAACAAAGTTTATGTAATCTTTAACTTTGTTGAAATATGATAATGTTTATTTTTATTCATGGATCGAATAAAGAATGAAATTATTATTTTTGCCATTCTATTATTTTTTAGGGTTCCGTACCTCAAAAGGTAAAAAAGGAACCCTTATAAGATCACTTTCTTGTCCGTCTGTCCGTGTGTCACCACCAATGTTCTCAGGAACGGGTAGACCTATCAAGTTGAAATTTATACCAGATACTGAGGTCTATGGTCCCTATTAGGTGTATAAAAATCAAGGTCTTACGTCAACACTATAAAAATATAGGGGCATATTTTGATTTTCGCGAAAACTTATAAGTACTAAAATTTACCTTAATTTTAATTTTTTTTAATTTTCAGTATTTTCTCTTTACTTGTGCTGTAAGATCTCGCTTTTATCAAAATTAACAAGTCTAGGTCAACCGGAAGTACTCTATAGGTTTTGGGTCGAAAACCTATATGGTAGTTCCCGTTGACCTAGAATCACGAAATTTGGCAAAAAGAGACGTCTTCCGCACAAATAAAGGAATAATTCCAAATTCTACGTAAAATCTGGGTAGGTACGGAACCCTCGGCGCACGAGTTCGACTCGTACCTGACCGGTTTTTTCTTTATATTAACGAATTTATTTATTATCTAAACAGAAAATAATAAAGGAAAGAAGAAGGAAAGAAAGAAGAAAAATTTTTAATATTTTGTCATATTTAATGTCATTTAGGAGGTTTTTCTCACTATGTTACCTTTAAATTAGTTTTGTATTAGGTATAAGTTTGGGTATTCTAGTGCGTGCTGTGGTCTCCTATAACTGAAGGAGTACACTTTTCAAAAAACGAAGTGTGTATTTTATGTACTTTTGTGTATATCCTTTGTTGGAGATCATTTATTCGTCATTCATCGTTCGCATATTATGCTCAACTGTGGTTGGTTGAAAAAATTTCACTCTAAATAATCGGTATTAATTTTTTTTTTCATTGTAACCTTGTTTAATTGTAACAAAATATAGTTTAATTTTTCTCTTACCAGGCATGCGTGGTAGCATTATCACAAACAGACGTGATGTCAGGTCTGAAAACGGCGGTGAAATCATGTCGAGAGATAGTTGGATGTGCATGTGAAGCGTTATCGAGCATATTTTCCAGTAATGCTAACACAGACAGACTAGTATTACAGGTTAGTATTATTAATTAAGGTAATAATAAAATTATCTGTGGAGTTTAAAAATCTGTGAAATAAATTATCGTCGGCGGTCTGACCCCATGCATTAGAGGTTTCACATTAAAAATGAATATGAATTTACTATACAGTAGCGGATTGCCAAACGGCAAGATTACCAATTCAGGTTTATAAGCGTATTTTTATTTATGTATATTATTTCAACGCGTTCGTAACTCCTGAGTTGCAGACGTTCATGGGCCGCGATGGTCACTTTCCATCAGGTGACCTGTCTGCTCGTCTGCCCCCTCTAATATAAAAAAAGTTAAATTTATTAATAAATTTAATACAAAACAATGAAATTTCATGTTCTCTCTTACACCTACCGCATCATTTTTCTACACTACCCGAAGGTCGACTGGCAGAGAATGCCCTGGGCATTAAGTCCGCCTGTGTACAACTTGTGCATTAAGTTACTATTAATAGATATTTGTTATCGATTGTATCTTGTCGTGGTCAGTTTTGTCGTTTATGAATGATATCGAGCGTTCGCACCTTGCAGGCGTTGGAGACGGACCTGATAGGCGAGCTGCTGGCGCTGCTGGAGACGCGGCTGGACGGCAGCGCGGCGGCGCAGCTGGTGCAGGCGCTGAAGGCGATGTGCCGCTCCGTGGCGCACGGCGAGCGCGTGCGCGGCGTGCTGGCCAAGTCGCCCGTCTGGGAGCACTACGCCGCGCAGCGACACGACCTCTTCATCACCGCCGCGCCGCACCACAACTCGCTCACTGGTATGTACATACGCCGGTAACCTACTTCCAACGATTTGTCCACACATCTATACGTATATTGATTAGGGTGAATATATTGAATAAAACAAAAATTTCAAGTACCTCGGCTCCCTCTTACAATGTGATGGTGAGATTCACCGAACTGTACAGCATCGAATCAATACGGGATGGATGAAGTGTCGGCAGGTAACGGGAACAACTTGTGACCCCAGTTTCCCCTTAACACTGAAGGGACAAATTTATAAAACTATTATCAGACCTGCCGTCCTCTATGTTTCTGAAAGTTGGCCCATTAAGAGAACGGATGAGAGACGCCTGAACGTAGCCGAAATGCGAATGCTGAGATGGATGTGTGGTGTGACTCAGATGGACAAGGTTAGGAATGAGTATATACGAGGGAGTCTGAAAGTAGCGCCACTCGATGAAAAGTTAAGAAGTAATAGGTTATCTTGGTATGGACATGTCATGCGGAGGGATGAGGAAAATGTGGTAAAAAAAGTTTTAAGTATGGGAGTTGAAGGATACAAGAGAAGAGGCAGACCGAAGAAAAGGTGGATGGACTGCGTGAGGGAGGATATGGCTAGGAAGGGAGTAAACAGTGAGATGACGCATGACAGAGCAGAATGGAAAAATCATACATACTGCGCCGGAAAAGGGTAGGCAGATGATGATATTGAAAAAAAAACATTATTTTTATTGAGAGGCTTTCATAACTTATAACAGGTATGAAAGTAGTATTTAATGCAATTTTAAATGTATTAAAATCTACTCTAGCAAACTCTTTCGTTAAAATAGGCGACATGCATATATTCAAGGAAATGCCATTAATGGATGTCGAGTCTTCATTGAAACAGTTTTTGTACAATGGTAGAAAACTACACATAAGACATTACGTCATTATCCTCATCTGAGCCGTAGACATGATGAAATAATAGGAAACGGGCGGTTGTAGATCGGCACACGCATAGAATTTCGATACGTGTAATTTTATTTTACATATATATCTTGCTAAATATTTGACAGAACAGAGATAGTTGCTATTGTGTATATTGATCTATGACTTTAGAGTCTACATAAGAGATGATTTATAATAATTTAAAAAATTATACAGTTTGAGTTTGATAACACACTACAAATAGATATATTAGCACAATACTATATGCTGTCAAAATATTACTATTCAGAGGCACTTAATTGCATAACTTGAGCCTAAAACCTTGCGTTCTTAAATTAAAAGAGAATTGTAAACAATGTGTGTATTATAGCGGCCCCTCACACGGCGGGCTACCTGACGGCGGCGCCCGTCAACATCCCGGCGCAGCCGCCGCCCATCGACTGACCGCCGCCACTCGCCACCTAACCTCGCGCTCCACACGACTCCGAAAGTACGTATTAGCTGACTTCAGCACTTACTACTTGTCATGTCATTTATCCTATTTACTTGTTAGCAGCTAAAGTTACATATAGAAAGAAGACACCCTTCGTTGGTAAGCTTCACACTTGAGAAAGATTAATACAAACTAGGTTTTTACACATTGAAAAGTTGGAATATTTCCCTGGAAGGTGTGAAATTAAAAAAAGACCTGCTGTATTTTTTTATTGTATGAAAACTTTTGTGAACTGCGGCCAGAACAATGTCAATATGTTTAACTAATAAGCTTGAGCTAAAACACAGATCTTTTATACATAATTCATGTTTTATTTCACCGACATTTATATGGAAGTTCATTCCAAACAATAGATACCCTAGATGTAAAAAGTTCTAAATAGCTGAAGCTGCCCATTGTATATAATATAAAATATCAATTACTGTTTAAATATATGCAGTAGTATTCTAACAATACATTCTAAAATGAAACATTGGCTTTAAAATTAAACATAACAGTATATAATAAGAAATAATAAAGTGCTAAGCGTCATATTAACGTACGTACTTTCGGAAAATGTGTAATGAATTTGCCTTGATGTAGCTCAGCAATATTATCACACAGTTCAGTATCAAAGGGGTTGCTGGTTTACAATGAAATGCCAATCACTTGTAAGATTTCCTAATATTGATACAATTAATCTTAAGCTAAGTGTATAAGCCTGAGACATAATCTTTTTTTAAAAGACTTCTTATAATTGATTGGTGTTTAAGTATTCAGCCGTGATTAGACTTTCACTGCGTCATATAAACAGCAATAATAGAGTGATTTGTTAAAGTTCGTAATTAATTTTATTTTTAAACAATAATAGCATCTTTAAAGGAATTTTATTTTAATAGTCTGGCTGTAAGGTAATGTATGTAATGTATTTAAATGTAATTTAAAATAAATGAGTCATAGGTCGCTGCCAGTAAATATTTACTTGATGATAAACATTTAATTTGAAAATAATTGGGTTTATATCAAGTCGAAAAATCTCTACAACCAAAATATGTTATTTCATTTGATATTTTGTGTATTAAATAAATTTCGAATTTTATTTTTAATTCGGAAATTAAAACGATTACTATGCGAATTAAAACGAAATTATTACGAACATGATTATAACACAAAATTGCGCATAGTAAGTTTTGGTAGAGAAAAGCAATAGGAAATATGTGATAGGGACAGAAATTCATTAATATTACCGCCATATTGGATTTTATCTGTGATTTCAGTTTTGTAACAATCATCTTAGATCATACTAATGTGTTTATCCTAATGATAATCTGAATGAAAGTACCAAGGCAAATTCAAATCTGTACTTATGTAAAGTTGCTAATAATATTGTACTGCTAAGTTCTGTCTCATTGTATAAAATTATTATAACAGTTATCGCCAGTGAATGAACGCTCGAAGTATTAACAGCCAAAGTTAAGTTTGTGTTTTTAGTTCTGTAAAAGTGTTTTTTAAAGTTTGATCTCTATAAAGGCAAATAGATCATTCCTAAGCATGTTCTAGAGATATAAGTTTGTGTATTGAAATTCGCACTTTTTACGGTGTTAGTTTAGTAGTATGGCTTGTACATTGTCATTTTATTCTACCATATATAAATGCACAATGAAATATAAAAGAATTTCATATTATTAGTACTACCAATGTCATACCATGTTTTGCCCTACGGTGACATCGAAATATGTAATAATGAAATAAGAGCATATATTTAGTGAATAGTTTTTGGCAATTGTGGTTATTAGCAAATTATACACATAATGTGTATAATTTGCACTTTTCAAACAACACATCACTACAATGTGCGTGTCTCTAATAGTCGAATACATGACAATATATATTTTTTAATCGATTGTATTAATATGTGTATTAATCAGTTTTATTTAGCTTTCTTGCCATATTTTTGTTTGAGACTGAAAATCATTGGAAATTGAATTGGGTAATGTTTATTTGAATTCCGGCACTACAACTAGGTATAGTATAAAAAGGAAGTGGTGATAAAGGATTTGTCAATTTACGCTCTTATTACTAACTGATATGTAAATTGATATGTAGGTGTATGCAAATCGATATTAAAAGCTTTGTAAAGATTTGTAATAATGTTATAAATGCTTATGAATGTTTTCTTGATTAAATACTCCCCTTATTATTAAACATGTAATATAAACTTGTTTACAAAAAATGGAGTTTTTTTGTGTTTGTTTATCATCTCTGATTTCTAAATCTATCAATAAGATTTGAAGAATTCAAGTAAACAACTATAAAGGGGGTACATAAAGCTGGGTGCATACAATCGAGATATACGACATACACTGTATGTAATAAGATACTTTAAATACTACTTTATGTTAGAAGAGTTATCGAGAATACATCTTTTGTTTTTTAATCAACGTCTTTTTCAACCAAAAATAATTATTTATAGTCATATATTCGCTGTGTTTAGGAATAAAGGATGAAATAAAGTAAAAAAAAAACTAAAACACCTGATAAACTCTGTGTAACATAAATATGTGTTATTTTTATTTATTAGATATAACAGAATGTAAAGAATCCAACTTTTAATATTGTTATAAATTCACATCAAAATTATGTGTGATATATAGTATAAAATAAATTACTACTTTGGTTTGTCATATCATATAATATTAAGGTTTACTTTATGAGAATATGATGCTCCTATGTTTAGCTCATTGTTAATTGAGTACGTCCTAAAATATTGTATTATATTCATCATTATGTATTGATTACGGTATTAATTCGACTATCAAACTATTTACTTGCATTTGCTATTCGTGTTTGGTGTAATATTAGTAAATTTTGTCGTGGGTTACAACACTAATTTAGTCGATAATATGCCGTAGTTTTTACATGTTTAGTAACTGTAATGGTAAAGAAGATGGTCGTGTATTTTGTGTGTTCTGTCCCACTCTGTTGGAATAAAATACTTTCTGGTTTGTATAATAAGTGTATTATTATAATTTTAGTGTAACGTCATATAGATAATTATAATAATATAGGCTTTGGGGTCCGGAACACACAATTTAACGAATGGCGTTTATGAGGGCAACACAATGATGGCTAGGTGTGATAATATGGATATTTTTATATCTAGTGTAAGTAAAATTGCTGTAAAATATACGAAGTTAATATATCTATATGCGTTTCTTTTTATTAACTACTGGAAATAAGTATTAAACAAAATTTATTGCTATTTTTTTACATATATTTTCGGACATCTGACACAACTCCATTTAGTTTCAAACTAAGCAGAGCTTGTACTATGAAAGCTAGATTGACTAATCGAATACTTAAATAATTTTTTGTGAATACATACATAGAAAACACACAAACTCCGAAACAAATATTTGCAGATCATACAAACATTTGGTCCGACCGGTCCGGGAATCGAACCCGAGACCTCAGCACTTTAGTCGCATACGCTACCACTACGCGCCACGCGCCACCGAGGCCGTCAATATCATATTGTATCAATAGACTGTCGTCGGAATAGTTTTGCACTTTTCGTATTCTACGAACTATGTAAGACCAATCAAAACCGTTGATATTACCATTGATGAGCCATTGTCACTACATCGACATTATTTTTTATGTGTTTATTATATATATATTTATAAAGATATTTTGTACGTAAACATAAAATGGCAGAATTGAGTCCTGGACCACACGTCTTTTCTTTTTTTTATACTGCTTGCATTTTACTTTGCAGGGGTGGACTTAATAGTTTTGTGGTGAAACGGGTGTCATGTTCCTCCAACATAAAGGGAGGAACTTCCGACAGGCGAGGCGATCTTGCTGGCGGGCCGCGGCCCTACGGCTGATGTTAGGAAGTTGTATATAATATATATTACCATACATGGTAATATTTATTTATTTATTTATTTATTTATATAATATATAATATAATATGCCATACCATATGGCATATTACCGATTAGCATATTATGCTAATCGGTATGAACATTTTTAGTATCGCTGTACAGGTTTAGCAGTTACTCAGTAGTTCGGTATGTGTTCGTTAGATAGCGCTGTAGTATGTTTCTTTGTTTCACCATATGTGGAAGTCGCAACATTCTTAACAGCTGGAGATACATGCTTCGGCACTTACAGCCCGGCTCGACTCGAGCGATACCACTGTCTCACAGAAAACTAATGTTAATTTAATTTTATCGAGTGAGTCGTAATTGGAGGTAACCCCACCGCCGAAATCTGGGAAGAAGGATGGCCACTCAAGAACTGGCAACACAATGGTGACTGGTGGTCACTTACTATCAGGTGATCCGTATGCTCGTTTGCTTCTTAGACCATAATAAAGACAACTTTTGGATGGTTCAGTAGGTTTAAACTACACATCTTCAACAAACATCAGTAAATTTGTCAATATTGTATAACCATATTCATCCCGTGTGGGTATTGTAAGAGCCGACCAAGTAAGAAAACTACGCAGAACTACGCAACTTGAAACAAATTGTACCAACCCGTCTGACCAGTGTGGTATAGTAGGCCAAAACCTTTCTAAGGAGAGGCCTATGTCCAGCAGTGGACTACTATAAGCTGTTGATGATGATGAATTATAAATACACCAAAAATAAAAGTATAATTATGCAAGAAATTTTAATTATCAAAATATTTTACAACTAACCAAAATTTTTACAAAAATATAACTTTACTGGAGTGATATTTGTATAAATATATGTTTGTCGTAATTTTATCTACAGTGATCTTTATGCGACAGTGTTCATTGTGGGCTTAACCTATCTGGTTTTTTGTTCTTATACTCTGTCGTTTGTTTATTTTCTTTTTTACAGTTGACTGAGAACGTAACTGCAAGTGAACTGTAAAAAACGCCGTTACAAAAATATACAGATTATCTGTTTTCATTTCATTATACTATGAGACGACATGCACATGTAGTATTTTTATAAGTAAACTAGCTGACCCGGCAAACGTTGTTTTGCCATATACATTATTTCTTTAAAGTTATGTAAAAAAAATGTTCAGGGGTAGGTTACTCTTATTATTTAGGGGTATGAAAAATAGACGTTGGTCGATTCTCAGACCTACCCTATATGCCCACAAAATTTCATAAAAATCGGTCCAACCGTTTTGGTAACAAACACCGCGACACGAGATTTTTATATATTAGAAAATGTCTAACATACAATATACTTGCGTTCTACTGTACGCAGTAATTGAAATAAATTTGTTTCTTAAAATAATGTAGTCCATGTCCATTTTTACAATTGATTACTATCAAGCTGATTTTCCCTGAGTACTCGTAGCTTCATTTTGATGAGCCCCCACTTTTTTTCTTCTCGAATTCTCGATCCAAACGACCGGAGTCAGTTCTCAAGGTCAAATTGTAGTACTAACAGCTTACGTAATTTTAATTTAAAATAACAGCTTGTGCAATAAACGGGTTTCACACATCGGAAAAGCATTATTCAAGCATATTCCTAATGCGGTTGTCTCTAAAAAAAACATTATCGAGACTGTAATAATACATTTTAATGGGCATACCGTATGCTTTTGTGAAATATGTAAACTTTACATTAATAACTTTAAAAGGATCTCCCCCATTTGACTTTTTTTTATGTTTTGTTGTGTATATAGGTACATATATTAGTTATTTCTGATTTTCATCCATAAAGTCTAGTTTTGTGAGTGCAATTGCCCTACTTTTGGGGCACATCTGATTCTGATGGCAACATTAGTTGTACGCTAGCGCGCGTGTCGCCGAGTGTAAATACGTATGACTTACGCCTACATCAATTGTGTTTTTGCCTCAAACTCGACGGTTTTTTGATATGAAACTATCGTTCTACGTATATTATTCTAAGATAATTATATTAAAATTGTAAATTTAACCTAACAAAAGTCACATCCAGTATATCATAACTTAAGTTAATACTTACAAAATGAGGCAATACTAAGGCAATCATTTTTTAATCTACTAATTACTGTACAATTACACATAAATAATTAATTACATCATTCCACAAAGGTGAAGGTAAATATTTTTTATTGATACATCACTGCCTTTGTGGAATTTTATACTATTCTATTTTAAGATTTAAGTAACAATATATATAACATATATCACAGTTTAATACGCAAATATACACAACAGTAATCATAGAATACTAAGGACTTATTTTATACCTAACTAATACCATTTGAAGATTACAAAGGACGTTTCGTCATGCTCTGAATGAGATCTCCTACTGTTGGAAGTACGCTGCTGTCCGTCGTGTAGGTACAGCTGTGTTCGCTCTAAACACATCGCCACTAACAGCAAATCAAATATTATTCCACTACTCTAATCCAAAATGTGCCTTATTTCCAATCTTCTTTCCAGATTTCAACTTTATCCTTGCTATCCTCCAATGTAAATGAATTGTAGGATATATTTACTAATACGCACGTGAAAAGTAGTGAAGAAGTGTGGTGAGTGTGAGATTTTTTTGCTTTGAGAACAAAATTCGTATAGAAAAAAACCTTAACAATTAGCTACGTAAAATCTCTAAAAATAAAAAGCCTTAATATTTTTATAAGCTGAATAGTTCATTAAGAGCAAGAGGAAACGTTGACGTACAATAGGATTTATTAAAAAAAATTGTCGTTGTACATCATTACACAATTATACCGAGAGACGTGTTTGAATTATCGTCGGGTAATATAAGTTATCTGCACCTTGAACCCTAAATGAGATGTTCAGGTAAGAGTTCAAATCCTAAAAGTTTCAGAACTATTATGGATAAGTCTGTATTGGCTAAGCTTTGTACTGACAAAGCTTAGCCAATACAGAGTCAGTCAGTTTGATGCAAATATCTGAAGGAATCTGTTTTGGAAGCCGAAGGAATTGTATGGACTGAACTGCCCAATACTACCTTTCATATTCTGTGTCTTAGAAAATACAATACAAAGCGTATCAGACTTCAAGTCACATCAAGTCACTTCAAGTCACTTCAAGTCTCTTCAAAGTACATGGTATACAGTCTATAGTTTACTACACGGCGGGCACCTTGCTGAGCACCTGTGGCGGAGACGTGTAGTGGTTGCTCTGTAGGGGTTTCAGCGGCCGCTCGTAGCTCTCACCTCGCGACCAATTGTGTTTACCCCTACTTAAAAAAATTTATTAAGATAACTCGTACAAAGTCATTATTAGACAACTTCAACTCTTATATACAGCCAACGGTTATCACTTGAGTACTTTTTTAAGACAGCCTGGCCATTAATATCAAGTTGCCAGAATTTTTGTTTATTTTTTAAAGAGGGGAATATCTGAATGGCAACAAGATGAAGTCAGAAGAAAAAACAAATGAAATTTTATTAGTGCTAAAATTATAGGTTTTAGATCATTACGTAGAGTAGTGCCAGTACCTGATAAGCATCTTGAAGTATCGGTGAGATTTAGGCGTGGGCGGGGCATCAGTAGGCTCTAGCTCGAGCGCGAGGTAGGGGTGCGAGCTGGCGTCGTGCAGCAGCTGGTCCAGGCGCGCGTGCAGCTCCGCGAACGTGGGTCGGCAGCGCGGCTCCGCGCGCCAGCACGACAACATCACGTCATATCTGTACAGTTCATATTTACAGCTTTTTATGTGAGCAATACCGTAGGGAACTGTCAAGTGAAAGCAGTTTTTAACACAATGTTATTAGCTTTAATTGTGAATTTAAAACAAAAAAAAGTAAATAACTATCTAAGTATGTAAACAAATGTTGGACGCTTTAACTTATTTTTAGTTATCGTATCAAAATGGCATTTTGTATGTGTACTCGCATAATAATACTAGTATATTAAAATTGATCTGATAATGGTCTAGCACCATTGACCATTGAAAATACCATTATATTATACATTATGTAGTAAAAAAACTATTTTACACAAAGGCTACCTGCTTTTGTGTAAAATAGTTTTAACAGAGAAAACTTATATTATTTTTTGTAACATCTAAGAAAAATAATAAACGCTTACAATTGTGGGCTGCAGTTGGCGGGAGGTGGCATGCGGTAACCCGCTCTTAATAACCTCGGCAGTCGGGCCGCCGGTGTCGAGGCATACGGCGCCTCTCCGACGGTGGCCACCTCCCACATCACTACACCGAAAGACCACCTTAGAAGAAAATGTATTTTTAATCACCTTACGAACTTGTATACCTCAAATCTGATAGTACTAGATTATAGATTTTAGTAATATGATTGACTTCCTGGAGTTGGAGGGTACGAGTCGCTTCCGAATTCTTCTGACCACTAAAATACGTGCAAAATTAGTTGTACCTTGGGAGAACCATGATTCGGCACATATGGACCGTCTCGATCAGAGTGATACCACGGAACCCGGTGTTAAGCAATTCTTTCATTGCTTTTACCGAGTTACAAGTTACCGAAGGCTCCTTAATTCTGGTGTCACTAAAAAGTCGTTAATGCACTTGTGTCAGGTCAGGTGACCTGTCGTTCGCTGTTCGTTTGCAGTGTGCGACTCATTTAATTTCATAAAATATGTTAAACTAGGAACAGTACCGGTCACACAATAACATCCTTTATCCTTAATCTTTAGAAGAAAAAAAAACAGAATATGACATTAATCTCTGTGTAAAAATGTCATCTGTCGATTCCATAAAGTATACTTACACGTCACTCGCAGTAGTATAAATCCTCCTTGTCAACGACTCCAGCGCCATCCACTTTACAGGCATCTTCCCATTACCCTTTTGCTTATACTGATTCTCTTCATACACATCCCTGGATAATCCAAAATCTGCAATCTTCAGCGTCCTATCTCCAGTTACTAATATATTCCTTGCTGCCAAATCCCTATGCACTACACGGTTAGCTGCCAAGAATTCCATGCCCATGGCGATCTGCCGGCAAAAGGACAGCAAGTCTAATGATGTAAGCTCTCTGTCACATATGTCCTGAAGCTCATAAAGTTTGTTCACGACGAGTTTAGAATTTTCCATCTGCATTTTACATTTGAACAGGTCATTTCTGTAGTCTGATGAGTCGATGTTATTGTTATAGTTCTTAGCGTTACGTTTAGAAACCATAATATCCCACGTGCACCTGTAAATGAAATGATAGGACACGGTTCTTTAATTATTTATAGTTACATTTTCAAACTATGCTTCAAATAGTAATGAATTCAGTCAAAAGATATATATATAATAATATAATATAATATTGTACCACATTCACACAACGCCATCTAGTCCCAAACTAAGCAGAGCTTGTACTATGGGTACTAGACAACTGATATAAATACATATATACTTTTTTTTTTGTAAATACATACTTATTATACATAGAAACACCCAGACCAAATCAAACATTAAATGTTCATGCACACAAATGTTTGACTTGAGCGGGAATGGAACCCGCGACCTTTGGAATAGCAGTCCGTTACACAAACCACTACGCCATTCGGTCGTCATGTAGGCAAACATTGCATACTACGAGTACGAGTATGTACAAGTACCTCAAATAAGTGAGCAGGTCGCCTCGACTGCAGTACTCGGCAATGATGAGCGGACGACGTCCACTGCAGACGCCCACCAGACTCACAAGGTGTGGGTGGACTCCCACGCTTTTCATCAGCTCCATTTCCGACCTAAATGACCTGATCTCGTCGAGTGATGGGAAGTCTGAAACAAGACGTTTGAAGGTTGGTATTTCTTTCCTTCTGTATTACTTTAAGACATCCAGCCAGCCCAGGCTAGATCTGCAATGTAGGTATGAAATTATAAGTAGGTACCTGGCGGCTGGGATTACCGCTTGCCCTTTCTGGCGATTTCGATAATATACATAAAACTTTCTAACTTGAACATTATTTGTAAAATCTGATCTTGAGAGGAATAACGCAATTTGAGTTTTATTGGGTTAGTTGTATTGACAAATTCCAGATAACCAAAAATTTAGAATTAACAACAAGCTTCTAATACAAAATAGTAAATAGTAGTGACAAAATAATTGGGGAATAGCCTTAGACAGTCTCACCTTTGAGCATTTTAACAGCGACATTTGTTCCGTTGGGAGCGAGCGTGGCGCGTCTCACAACGCCGAACGCTCCTTCTCCGATGACTTCGTGTAACAGGAGCTTGTCCAACCGAATCTCCCAACTGTCTTCTATTTCCATTGTTGTGCTTATTCCATCGATGTCGCCTTTTTTCGGCGGTTCGTCGCTCTACCACGTAAAAGAAGGAAAAAAATTAAATATTCAGAACGTGTCGTATGTTTAGACTCATTATTAGGTTAATATTTTTCAGTTTAGTTGGTAGTAGTAATGGGTATTAATGCTAATTAGATTTAATTTAATTAATTGCGAATTCTTATGTCTTAGCATGTTAATTGCTAATATTATTTTCTAAAATAGCAATTTCGTTCGAGGTGAGCAAATTAAAAACGATCGTAACTTACTACTAATTTTATATAAATAACTTATTTTTATTATAATTTAACTCATCGCGATTTCAGTGATTAAAACTTGTCCATATTTTATTTTCACCATCATTATTACAGAAATAAAGCAATACGAGTTTTTTGGTGATATGCTAGAGCCTTAGTTAATTCTTGACTTGACAATATCTATTTAAAAATTCACAAAATTTATATTTACAACGCACCGTCACACTCTTCAAAACTAAAATTACCTAGAGGTAGTAGGTACCTATAATTAAACTTCTTATTAACAAATACTATATAGGTACCAATTCTATGAACAACTATAAACAATTTAACAAAACACTACAAGAAAACAAAAGGGCATTCAAAACAATACCTAATCCTCCGAGTGAAGCGACGAAATTTCGTGTACGTATTAATTCATATGTTCACGAAATTTCACGACTACAATTAAAGTGCTAACTGCTAATTAAAAATATACACGGATACTAATAATTAGAATCTAAATCCACCAATATGGATAAGGATCTGAGTGTTTCCATTGTAAATGCTTATACGCTTGACTTTAAAATGATAGTAATTGACGTTTAGGACTAAATAATATTTTATTATTATATAACGTTTCGACTTTCACTGCCCGTCATTTTTTAAATAATTTTTTTAATAAACATCACAAATATTTGAGATTCAATTTCGTCATAAAGATAGCCATTTTTAAGAGGGCAAACAAGCAGATGGATCACCTGATGGTAAGTAACTATCTCCATCTAGGGACACCTGTGACTCAAGACGTCTGTAGACAAGAGCGTTGCCACTCTTTGTGTCGTCCCCAGGGTGGAGGAGAGGGTTGGACCTCCGGTTAACTCATTCACTTGGTGAAAATCGATGAACGAATTACTTAACATCGGTGTCTGTGGGACCGTGGTATAACTACGGTCGAGCCAGCCTATAAACTTGTGCCGAAGCACGGTTCTCCCAGTAATATATATACGTGTCTCAACACAACTCGGATATTTGCGGTTTCGGATACGTCTATCGGCACATCACTAGTAGTAGCGTGTGATACTTACCGGCGGCTCGTCGGGCCTGTAGGGGCTGCGCACCCGGCGCCACACACAGACGATGGCGAGAACCGCGGCGGCGCACGCGGCCGCACCAAGCGCCGCCCCGCGCGCCGCCACCTCGCTTTCCGGCATCAGGTGAGCTGCACAGTACTATATACCATTAAACATAGCCGACTTCGCTTTGAACAATCTTTATATGAGCGCTTTAGTTGGTTAGCCTGTTTTGAGAAACCTATAGATACGTTTTTTTGCTTTCTTTAACTAGTAACGTCTCAAAAAGCATTACTTGTATTCTCAATACCTACAACTAAGGATGGAATGGAATGGAATGCTGCAGTTTCTATCCAACGTCCGAGCCATTACGCTACCATGGTGGTAGCAGTTCATTATTACTCAGTTATTAAGTTAAGACTTAATGTAACATGAAATCTGGTTTAATATTTACCTGGGAAAAATGCTCGTCTGCTGGTGATTGCGGTTTTTCTGCCAAGTTTAGCGTGTAGTTCAACATAGTAGAGGCCAAAACCAGAAATTCCCTTGAAGACCACTTCAGTCTCATTCTGTTAATCAATAAGATTTTCAATGTTGTTTTACCGATCTTAAGTAAAGCGAGGGTTATTATATAATAAAGTTAGAATGGATCTGATTATAGAGAAATTATGCGTTTTCTATTTAGGACATAATATTTATTTATTTTATTTATTTATTTAACATATTACAAAGCAATTTACAACTACTGATTATAATAGTGCATTTGAAAACCACTGAGGTTTGTAAAAAATGCAACAGATGCTACATCAAGCGAGGTTGATACAAATCAACACCATACAGTAAAATACATGCGTCATTATGTAGGTACTTTTAAAATAATTATAAAATTTAAGCGTACGGGCGCAGAACGGTGAAGTGAACTCCGAGTCAGGCAAGGAGAGGAAGAGGGATTACTTACAAAGATGACTAGGCCATGTTTTCCAAAAAGAATTCCTTCAAATTATGTTTGATATTTTTTTCGTTTAGGCATTTATTTATATCGGAGGGTAGTTCATTAATTAATCGCGGTACTATGTATCGTGTTGTTCTCTCACCTCTCTCAATACTAAATGTTCCTTATACTATATATGTATGTGTTTATGTCTAAACTAATTAGTGTGTTTATTTTTAAGCATTGCATTGTTGCGATTAGAGAAATAATAAGTAATGAACGAGTATCGAAATGGAATCTTAAAGTGAAAATATTCCAAGAATTTCACTTACCCCTGGTACCTTTAGGCTCTTTACGTCCTTTGCGTGTAACGTGATATTGTATAGTTCCACAGGGTAGAGCGGTGGTGACCAAGCTACATGTACATTCCACGTATCTGCCGTGTCCTCTGTCGCTTCAATTGAAACATTCGTGGGAATCTCTGGTGTTCTATTACCTGACAAACATAAATACCTACTTGAAATATAAACATTATTAACACTCCTATCCTACTGGGAAGCTTGAAGAAATGGCGGTGCAGAGTGACACTGCTCGCCTTTGTACTGCAGTGAAGTACCATCATGCATAGGTATACAAATATATTCCGTAGTAATGCTCATTCTTGACGCTACTTAAGGAGGAGTTCTGTGTTTTTAGTCAAATTTTTAGGTTATCAGTCCAGAGCGAGTCCAGAGTTCAGAGAGATATACTGAGAACTGAAAACCGTTTTAGACCTAAACACAAATCGATTAGATAAACCTCTTGCATGTTAGGAGAGTCGGGAGAAGCAGGTGCAGAAGCAAAGTATTTCACTTACTGAGTAAACATTTAACACCATCGTCGCACTTTGGCGTCCGGTAGGAAAGCTTAGTGGTTCCGTACAGGCCAGTCACTCGTATGTCACATTTGTCGTCTAATGGCAAGTTGTACAAAAACTTGTGTGCTTTGGAATCGGGCTGAAACAAATTAACACATCTATAAAAAATGAGTAACAAACTGTAAGTGTCTTACAGGTAGGTACTTATCTTGTGTTATAGGTCTTAAACGGAACTGGTTATATTGAGAAAGTAATGCGTTGTTATAAGCGAAGCTGCAATCAGAGGATATGATAAAGTTTTCAAAGTGTCAATAATAATAACGAGAATCATGTTGCATAAACTTTCTCATTAATGACCAATGGTAATAATTGTCGAAGGTACCTTAAATTTTAATTACAAGTCTTCGTGTATCCGTACTTTAATTACAATCTTAATATCTTAATATTATTGTGCAATATATGCGACTTTAAGAATTTCGTGGTTTACTTACCCATATCTTGAAATCTCTAATACCGGATTTTCCACACGAGTTCACGACGTCAAAGCATACATCCAACTCTGAAATAATAATTCACGATACATCTTATTTGCCACCATACAGCCAGTTCGACTTAAATACTCGACTACTGTTCCAAATCGTCGAAATCGAAACTATTGTTCATACAATCGATCCGTATTTTTTGGGACTAATCCCTTCCACACGCCAACCACTGTAACTCCGTTACACCAGGATCAACAGCAGTGACCCACAAACACATCGAGTTATGACACTCGGGAAGTCCCAGGAAAAAAATTAAAATATCTTGGAACCCGCAACGAAATTAATCAGAAGAAAATTGGAGGAGTTGGAAATATACAAAATCCACTTCCCTCCTTGGCAAAGCGGGAGACAAAAGAAGTAAAATATGCATGCACCCTTTTAAACAGGGAAGCATCACGGCCTCAAAATATTATGGGTCCTAAGTGAGCTCTATTTGATTTCTATAATATGTATGGCAGAATCGCCTAAACGCACGGAAATTCAGTTTTAGTTGACACAAGATCCCCATAGTATACTGCCCCAGATGTCACCTGTAAGCTATTCAGCATTATATAACGTTCATTATGCCAAAGACTACATTCCCAGAGGATATGATGAGCAGACTGTTCATAGTGAGAGTTAGGTGCTGAGCATTGACACAATGGTGACTCGACTAATTCAAATGAATACGGTTTGCTATTAAAGTTACCATGACCTGTAAGAAATTGAGCGACACAGTGATCATCGATCCGTATGAGCAATAACCCTTTCCTACTACCATTGACTCCCCGTCTTACGAACTATACCTTTCATAGTTTTCAGCAATTTCTCCATCTAGTTCCTAAACGGCTCCTTTTATTTATTATTATAACCCGTTCGGGGACATAGGCGTGATATGTGTGTGCACCTTATTTATTTCATAGATAACCTGATTGTCCTCTATAAGAAGTCCTTTATCCTTTGTTCGTGTCCTTTATAATATTGTTTTTGAATTTAAAGAAGCAGGAGAATCTAGGGATGGGGAATATTTATCGTTTATTAGGTAGTATTGTCCGTGTGGTGATGGCTTAAGAATGCGGAGTGTCACCGTAAGTGTGCGGTGTCCTAAGAGCCGACTTAGTGAGCAAACTATGCAGGAGAACAGCACTGCAAGGAGAAGGAAAACTTGCCACAAACCCTATACCAACCCGTTGGCCACGTAGTATGGTAGGCCAAAACCTCCTTTCTAAGGAAAGGCCTATGCCCAGCAGAGACAACTAAACGATGATGATGAGGTAATATTTATAAAAAAATAACTGGAATATACTCGTATGTGCATACCTCCAGTTGTGTTCCACGTAAATAGGCCGTTTAAAAATGTGTTCTTTTCTTCATTTCCTTTAAAAAACTCCACATTGATATCATACTTCTGGGGTTCTGGAATGGACACTTGATTATATTGTGGTAGGATGAATCCTCCTCGCCATTTCAAAGGTTCTTGAACGCGAAGGTCTGTATTCCAAAGTGTGTAGTTTCCTATGGGTGTTGTGCTGACTTCTTCGTACTCTATTTTTGGTGGTATTAGGCTGTAGTTTATCTTAAACAAATATTATATATTCTTAGCTTTTCTATTCGAACATATTATCGCACTCATCATTAATCAAATTTGAATTCCTTTTAAAAAGTAGGCAGGTTGTATTTTCCTGTCAGGTAACTAATTATTATTTTTAAGTAACAATCATGGTTACGTACAGATTATTTTGCAATAAAAAATATTTATTGACAGAATTGTAAATATCTCAAAGCCTTTGAACTTTGAACTCAACTCTTAAATTGAAACAAATAAATTTTTTGCTTACAGATTTTGCCCAGCTAATGCGTTTTACATATAACGGTAAACGTTCAATGAAACATTCTACCACACAACTTTCCCGCCAACTCGACTGTTATCTCAGTTTTAAAAACCCGCATAGTGGTACTAAATAGATCTTTTTCTGATACCGTGACGCGGAAGTTTTAAAACTGTTAAACTATAATACGATACGATATTGGATCATTAAAGCATTGTCTATGCAGTTCAATGGCGCTAACTAAAATATATTAAGAAAATGAGAATGTTATGACTTTATATGTCGAACGACGAAAAATACCAACAGAATTAAAAAATATTCGTAGCCTATCATTTTCTTTACCTAAAATGACAGAGGGTAAACGTTCCCTACGTTTGTATACAAGAAAATCTTCTTCATTGATTTTGTTTGTTTTTTTCATCACATAGGGTAAGTGGCAATGGCAACCACTTCTCATGGTCACCAGTGCATTAACGTCCTTTAAGGTATTGAATACGATCTTCCCTATATCTATTTATTCCTTCAAAGTTTTGCAATTTTGAGGCTTGTTTGGCAGAATGTCGTCCATTAAGATTATCGCAGATTTGAATTCCATTGTGTGCACTCAAGGCTTTTGCTACCGAAATAAGTTCAAGTAGTAAAAAAACATATTTTGTTTTTGTTTCCTTTTTTCTACATTACTTGAAAGCTCCTAAAATACTTTTTGAAGATTATGTGCTAGTCTCACTTCTTTTTAGTGACAGTATGCAAAGACCAAATGCTACTTTTGGTTACTTAGTTTAGGGTTAAATAACTTACTGAGTACTTGTCAGCTTCGGTATCATTAGTGGGTTCAGGTACCAAAACGACCAGCTGCCAATTTTGAGAGGGTTCGACTTGAAATCTAACGTTGTCTTGATTAGTGCATCTGACTTTCGCTAGGTGTGACTGTTCCGATGAACTGTCATCAAAATCCAGATTTGGCAGAAATTTTGATTCCGCGAAACTCGTTTGACAATTTTCCAGTTCCTGAAAATAAATTAGAAGGCGATTATCACAAGGTTTACCTACTACCTAACATAGAGATGATGTGCCAGGCTGTTTGTTTGAATAAATATGAATTATGAGCTGTTTTCTTTTCAATGTAGAAGGACATCCCATCAAATATTTTTAGGTAAATTGAAAAGTAATGTAGATAATTACGGAAGGGGTATACTTAAACGAACTTTTATGGTGAACATATATTGTCTGCCTTTTTATGGTACCTCCTTACAAGACTGGAGTTTACGAGCAGGTTTATTATTCGAATTTATTTAACAATATGAAGTCCGATAACGACTGAACAATGAAATAATGCAAATAATGCGCAGTAGATTACTTTAGCAAAATTCTTAATCTAAAAGAAATATCAGCCTTAATTAAAAGTGTCAAGGTCTATTTCGATAGATCTCAGGTATCACGTAGATGTGTACTTTTGTTTGGAACGTGGAGAGCGACACGCGTACGAAGCAATATTCACGATTGAATCATTGGCTATTCACTGTTTGTCAACAAACAGAAATACCACCAACGAACCAAAGGAATATTTATGGCGTACCTAATTATAGTTAATTACCTCAATGGTATTCTGCTCATATCTATCTATGTGGTAAGGTTCGGAAATCGGGATGAAAACGTATGAAATTTCTAGTTGGGAGTAAGAAAATAACTTGGCATCCTTATATTTTACTACAATGTTTCTGGTTTTTGTACTACGTGTACATTGCCTATAGTTAAGTACTATAGTGTTGTGGAAATTACAACATCTAAGTATTTGTATGATTCGTACTTTGTTTTTAGAGATGCCTACTATATAACCTTTCGTTGTGAGTTAGTATTGTAAAGGAATCACTTTGCTAACCGTCACAGCGTCAGGTGGTAAGAGTTTGATCTTCCTGTTGTAAAATTATTCATCGGATTTACTGATTATTAATGGTAATTTTAATTTGTTAGTTTTAAAGTTGTGTTAGTAGTTTGTTAGTTGTGTAAGGACATTTAATTTAAAGGAATTTTCATTCAATTTAAAGTAAAAGCGCATATATTGTATATGTAGGTATATTTGATGGAATAAGTATGATATCTACTACTGGTCTAGTGGTTAGTTACCCTGACTGCTAAGCCAGAGGTCGTGGGTTCGACTCCCACCCAGGACAAATATTGTGTGATGAGCACGATTATTTGTTCTGTGTCTGGGTGTAATTTTTCTGTAATATGTATGTATTTAAAAATATATAAGTATGTTTATCAGTAGTCTTGTTGCCATAGTACAAGCTCTGCCTAGTTTGGGATCAGAATGCCGTGTGTGAGATGTGTGAATACATTATTTATTATTTTAGAAAAAGCTTAAAAAGAGAGAATGTGGTGTCGTAAAAGCCTACTAAGGGAGTAAACTACGCAGGAAAACAGCACTGCAAAGAGAAGGAAAACTTAAACCAAACCCTATACCAATCCGTCTGGCCAGCGTGGTATAGTAGGCCAAAACCTCCCTTCTTAGGAGAGGGCTATGTCCAGCAGTGGACTAGTAAACGCTGTTGATAATGATGACAAAGATTTAATCGTGTGGAGGCCAAGGTCTGCCGGGGTTCCAGTCCCTTGTAATAGACTTACATGTGACGGAACGTCGTGTGGGCTTAGTCACCTCACCGTGAGCCCCGGTCGGGTGATGATCCGTGTCGGTTTCCACACGATACAAAAAAAAAAAGAAAAAAGACAGGAAAAGAGTTAGTACGACGGGCCTGTTGGTCTGGTGGTTAGTGACCCTGACTGCTAAACCGGGGGTTCGATTCCCACCCAGGACAAATATTGTGTGATGAGCACGGTCATTTATTCTGTGTCTGGGTGTGTTTATCTATAATATGTATGTATTTAGAAATATATAAGTATGTTTATTAGCAGTCTGGTTACCATAGTACAGGCTCTGCCTAGTTTGGGATCAGACGGCCGTGTGTGAGTGTGTGAGATATATTATTATTAGTAACAAAAAACAAGTAATTAACAAACTGCATCGCAGACAAAATTCGTCAAAGAACACCGCGGTGGCGATATATGTAGGGGCAGCAGAATCGAGAAAGTGTGTAACTCAAAAATTGAAACAACTGATAATACTCATAAGTTAAATTAAAACAAATGATGTCAAATGAAGTACATCATTGTCATTACTGTTTCCAAATACATCAGGAACTACGTCAATATTCAGTCTTTAGGTATACAACACGGTGTATGATAAACAATATAATGTTATCTACTTCATTCCAATAAGTAAACAGTGCAGTCAATATTTCGGCCTACTGATATCAAATACAGATACATCATGCTTTGGAGCGATCACTAGATACTGCATAGGTCACCTTTTTGTCTCCTATGCTTAGGTATACATACATATACTCGTATTTATAACGAGTCAACTTATTTTAAATTATAACGATAGGTCTTACATTATTCTCGTAGTCTTGTGTATTCCTTTTAAGATTTTTTTTGGTAAATATTTTGTATCGTTTGTGCTATCATAAGAAGTACACCAGTACACCTTATCCTAAACATGATGAATGCACTATGACTATAACATACCCCTTTACTTTTAAGAGGGGTAAAGAGTAGCAATGCCTTAGCGTCTCTTGAGTTTCAGGTTTCAGTGAAGTTTCAGGGAACAGGTGAAAAGAAAGAAGATACTTGTAGGAATTCAGACATAACATGGATGGATCACGTGTTGCCCCATTCGGGGATCAAACCCACATCACTCAGCGCAGTAGGAAGTGGTGAGGTGACCGCTTGAACCTCTACACCACCCGCGCATTGCGTACTCGTATATAGTGTGAAACATCTGAGGGCCTAGTGCATGTTTATTTCACATCAACTCGCTCTCGGCAGCAAGCGTATTCGGCGTTGTAATTGGTTAAGATTTCAGTACAGACCAATCGCAGCGAAGAACGCCGTCATCGTGACGATCGAATAGATGTGAAATAAACTTGCACTAGGCCATCTGACGTCTTACGACTAACTCTAGCGTCGTGCGCACTCATTCGTCAAATTAAACAGCTCACGCTTAACCGGCTTCGTAATTAGGCTGTTACACACTTCCGTCCCTTTTCACTAAATTGCACACACAGATTAGAAAAGGAAAGATGTTAAGCATCTATATTTTTTTACTTTTATCAATCTAGCATCTTATACATTCCACTACAAATTCAAATTTTTTTTTTTTTCAAATTCAAATTCTTGTTTTTGTTGATTTTTCAAAAACCGCTTGAACGATTTCAATAAAATTTAAATGGGACCACCTGGGAAGTACACCCTTTAAAACCAAAAAAAAAGCTTTCCAAATTCCTTCAGGCGTCTTCGAATAATCGGTGAACATACATTTAAAAAAAGATTGGGACGAATTGAGAACCTCCTCCTTTTTGGAAGTCGGTTAAAAAAAGATAGATAGCCTGCTCAATTTAAGTAAGAATCTATCTATGACTAACTATCAGGTCATCCCCTTATGTATGAAAGATCAAAGATACACCCTTATATTTTTTAAATAACCTCAACTGCCAACACTCCTTTCTAAGGGACACACACAACACACATGGACAATAAAATGCCGTTTTATGCTGGATTTCAATTTTAATTCGGCTAATAATTTATTGATTCTAACGAGATACTAAGTCCGCTGGGTCAGCCAGCGCATCTATCCATACAAATAAATAAAATTGGAGTGTCTGTTTGTAATATTAAATTAACCGCTTTTTACTAAATGCATATGTATGTTTACACGGTACATATGCCAAAATAACATTTTTTACAATTTTTGTCTGTCTGTCTGTCTGTTTGTTATATAAAATAGGAGGGTACCTACGTAAACAAGGCCGCAGCCTCGCTGTGCGGCAACGCAGGGAATTTGACCGAATAATTATATTTTAAGCGCATTCAAAAAACGAAGGTTATCAAATTGACACGTATCTATGTAATATTTTTTTAAACCTCTTTAAAGCAATAGCTTGACACTTACATAAAACTTGAAGTTTTGTACCTTGTACTTTATGTGTAATCATCACAGTTCAATTAAGTTAGTAAGGTAAAGTGGTATTAGCGGTTACATGCGTTGTTCCACGTCACTGCAATTTTACCGGAATTGATGATTTTGGCACATACCCATCAAGGAGAGGAAGTAGGATTCCATGTCATCTCGTTTTGTGAGAAGGTAATGTTGGCTTAAGGGGCAGTGAAACGAAACGTGTAAGGACCTAGTAGTCTAGAGGTCTTCTGCGGGACGGAAGAGGTGGATCCCCAATAGGTGCTGGAAAGCGCGGAACGAACCTCCATGAGCGCTGGTCAAGAAATAACAGATGGTGCTTTAAGTAACCCTTGTAAAAGCTGGATAGATATATTTAAAAAAAACTTTGTTTAAAAGAAATTGTAGGCCATTATTTCGTTTGGCACCCATTTAAGTTTTGTTATTTTATTCACTGTACAAATAAAATATTATTTAAGTTATTATTTAAGTCGTTAACTTTTTCTTTTATGTAGAAGGCTGGTACAACTAATTTCGTGATCTTTCTGATCTCAACGTTTAAAGACCGATAAAAATATTTTAATATAAGCAATCTGTTCACAGATTGCTTAAATACCCAAAAAAAACATTTCAGTTGTTTATGTAAAGGTTGGCTGGAAGACATTACATTGTGATAAGACTGCATGTTGGGCATTATATGTATAAAACAATTGTTTTCTTTTATCTCTATTAGGTTTATCATATAAAGTAGATATTTATAGGTACCTAATTATTCGATATTTTCTGGCAAGGTAAAGTTAAAATATAGTTGACCAAATTAACCAGAAAAGAGGTTTGGTCAGACGGGTTGGTATAGGGTTTCCACACGTTTGAGAGGGTGCTCTCTGCCCGCATCGTCCGGCACCTTTGCGAGGTTGGCCCCGATCTGTCGGACGCCCAATTCGGTTTCCGAGAGGGGCGTTCGACGATCGATGCCGTAATGCGCTTAAGGGCCGTGACCGAGGAGGCCGTGAGCTGCGGCAGAGTGGTGTTGGCGGTGTCCTTGGACATCGCCAACGCCTTCAATAGTCTGCCATTCAGCTGCATCAGGGAAGCGCTCCGCTACCACGGAGTGCCGGAGTACCTGAGGCGGCTGGTGGCAGACTATCTTGAGGAGCGAACCGTCATGTACGAGGACCGAGATGGCGTCTTGAGACGCAGGGCCATGTCCTGCGGTGTTCCGCAGGGGTCTGTCCTAGGACCTCTCCTGTGGAACATCGGGTACGACTGGGCCCTACGAGGGCGTCTCCCCCCCGGGCTGGGTGTAATCTGCTACGCGGATGACACCTTACTCACGGCCCGGGGGGCTAACTTCCAGGAGGCGGCGCGCCTGGCCGCCACGGGAGTTTCCCAGGTGGTCGGGCGCATTGAGGCGTTGGGATTACGGGTGGCCCTGGATAAGACGGAGACCCTATTATTTCATGGGCCCCGTCGTGGTCCGCCCGCCGGCGCCTCAATCGAGGTCGGCTCGGTCCTCGTACCGGTCCGGGCCCAGATGAGGTATCTGGGTCTGGTCCTAGACGGTAGGTGGCTCTTCGACGAGCACTTCCGACAGCTTGGTCCGAAGCTGGTGGACACTGCCTCCGCCCTAGGGCGACTTTTGCCTAATTTGGGCGGGGCCAGTGTTCCCACGAGGCGGCTGTACGCGGGGGTTGTCCGGTCCATGGCGCTGTATGGTGCACCGGTGTGGGTGGCGGCTCTGACCGCCCCGAATAGGGCGCGCCTCTGGCGCCCCCAGAGGATATTGGCGGTCAGAGCCATACGCGGATACCGCACGGTGTCCACCGAGGCGGCCTGTGCCTTGGCCGGAACACCCCCGTGGGATTTGGAGGCGGAAGTGCTCGCCGAGGTTTATCGGCGAGTGGCTGACTTCCGGGCGGAGAGCGGATTTCGCCCTCCGCCCGAAGACGTGCGCGAGTGGCGCGAAGCCGCTCGCCGAGCCACCATGGTGAGATGGTCGTTCCGGCTGGAGACTCCACGCGCTGGCTTCGCCGCCGTGGAGGCTCTCCAGCCGGTCATCGCCGAGTGGGCAGGGCGGCAGCACGGGACCCTTTCCTTCCGGCTGACGCAGGTGCTTTCCGGGCACGGTTGCTTCGGAAAGTACCTGTACTCGGTCGCTAGGAGGGAATCGAGTCCCGCCTGCCACCACTGCGACTGCAGTGAGGATTCGGCCCAGCACACGCTGGCGGTTTGCCCCGCATGGGCGACGCAGCGCCGGGCCCTCACTGCAGTCATCGGAGCAGATCTCTCGCTACCGGTCGTAATTCGCTCCATGGCCGGTAGCGACAGTTGTTTTACCGCGGTCGCAACCTTCTGCGAGGAGGTAATCTCGCAGAAGGAGGCGGCGGAGAAGGCCCGGGAGGACGACCTCCACTCGGACCTGATCCGCCGCCGGCGAACCGGGCGGCGGAGGTGCGCCTACCTGCGCCTCATGCCGCCCTGAGTGTGGCCGCGGGTGGACGGGATGGGTTCTCCCCTCCACCCGCATTAGTTGGCCAGCCGCGAGGGGGTGGCGTCCGCGTGTGCCGGACGTCGCCTAAAGAGAGGGTCCACTGAGACGGAGCCCGCATCAGGAGCGGGCCGGCGCTGGGAGGGGTCCAGAAGGAGATAGCTACCTGGACCCCTCCTAAACTGGAAGCGCAAAGAGGGCACACCGTGTGGTTTTAGTCGGTTCGAGTCCGACACACCGCCCCGCCGAACGAGAGCCCCGGCGGGGTGATGGTCCGAGGGGATTTCCACACGTAAAAAAAAAAAAAAAAGGGTTTCCACACGTTAAAAAAAAAAATAGGGTTTGTAGTTTTCCTTCTCTTTGCAGTGCTGTTTTCCTGCTTAGTCGGCTCTTACGACACCCACGGGATGAATAGGCGTGGTGACACTCTGTATTATAAACCTCCTTACTAAGTAGAGGTCTACGTAAAGCAGTGGACTATTAAAGGCAGTTGATGATGAAATTAATCAGAGCGATTACTTAGGGTAGTTTTTTATGTAGCTATTTATTTAATTTATGAGACGAAAACTTATTTCATAAAATGTTAAAACAAGCTAAACTTTATACGGGATTAAACTACCACTAGATAACTCCATTCAATATTTTCATATTTGACACCCTTACAATTTTTTTTAAGACAACTTCCCCACTAAGAAAATATCCTGTGTCGCGAGGGACAAACATAAAACGAACACAAAGAACACCCAGACTCAGAACTACAATTTGTGGATCACACAAAGTGTTAAGTTGGATAATTTCTGTGACACAGACCTATTTCTTAGCGTTCCATGGATTCACCGTAAGGGTGCCGGATCATCGACATGCGACTTCGACAGCGTCTGGGAATTGCGACCCAGGAATAGGTTTAGGGAGCACACCTTGCGACGCGTCAGCGCTCACCTCCACTGTCTGCTGTAGTACCCCCTCTACCTAACCATATTTGATACGACCCTAGCAATGCCACTTTGGATATTCGTTCAAGAAAAGAGCTTACCGAAGCTTTTGGGAATCCAAGGCCTTTAAGCAGGTTATAGACAGATTTGGTATACCCCTGGCACCACGTCCACGGCATACAATTAAATAGACATTTTTAATTTTTTAAATTCGGTCAAATCAGATCATGTCAGCAGCGACACTGATTACAGATTCTCAACTGTTTTCATATACACAAATATACGAGTATATCATCAAAATTATGCATACGTTCTTAACTCTAACCCAATAAACTAAATAATACTGGTTAGTAAACAAATGACATTAGACAATTACTTGTCCTGGGTTTGAACCGAACCCACGAAATTCTGTCAAAATTAAAACAGTTGCCAGCTTGTTAGTAACAGTCCAGATATTTAAATAGTTTAAGAAAATCGAAAATATAGACTTATAAAGATATTAAACCTCATAAACTCCATCTAAAAACCCTTAACCAAACAGTCGAAACCGTTAATATTTCTTTCACAAAACACCTGCTGATATACTACATAGTTTCTCCCGAAAACAATATAAAATGATGTAGAAAGCCAGTAATAAAATGATTTCTATTAATTAATTGTATAATTTACCTAATCATAATCGAAACTTATTATTTGATATGTTAATTTATCCCTAGTCACACTTGCATTAAACGTGTTTTGTTCGAAAAATAATTTCTGTTATAATTTATTAATTCATTCTAACAGATTCAAAAACAGCTTGAAAAACCTGGTAGTACCGAATTAAGTAGTCGTCGATTTATAATTTAATAAAATATTATTATTTTTAGATAACATAGTGGAGGCACAAACAACAAAATTATAAATCTCCTCTGCGTTTATAATGCGCCCCAATTACTAAACAATTATCGTATCAGAGACCCGTTGTCTACAAAAAAAAGATATATCTCTTAATATGTTAATGATTAGTAAACGATAAGCAGCGGTATGAATGGCATGATAGTTCGGCACGTACATAATCAACTGTGTTAATTTTGGATAATCGGGTTATCAACTTTTTACGAGCGAGTTGTACGCAATGTCATACACCTTCAAGAGTTCATTGAGTCAAACTTGTAATGATATATGCCTCTATAAACTGTGATACACCTGAATAAAACCTTAGAAAACTGGTTAAGTATATTTTATAAAGTAACATCTTTATTTTGATCTTTCGAAGGCAAAAGTTAAATATCACATAAATCCAATGACTTAAATAATATTTTTTTAATTCACTTACTAGGTTTATGCAATAATAAAAAATGTAAGTTTTAATAACAATACCAAAACAATAATAATTTCTTAATAATTACCTGAAATTGAAAATAATTTTGTTATTTCTTTTGTATACAATTGAGCATACAAATGCTGTTTATAAGGTAGGTAATCACAATAATTTTATTTCTGTTGTAACAGACTAACATTATATGAAGCTGTAATATTTTCGTCAAAATTAAGTATGAACATATTCGTGCCTACATGTACTAATATCTTGCACTGTGTATTATTTTTGATCCAAAATTAATAAAAAGAACTTACCACACCTACATATGACTCCAATGCTGGACACACAATATCAACCAAATATTTCAACTGATCATCAGAAATCGTTAGCACCTCCGTATCTATAGGTTTTCCACTCACATACGGTTTAAATATTATTTGTTTTAACAAATAAAGTATTACATAGTGTTCAATTTTTTTGTTAAACATTTTAAGTTTTTGTACATTTAGGTAAGTATCTACTTTTCAAAAAAAATTAGCAAACCATTTCTTAAATAATATTTACAAAAAATATATAATGAAAAATCTATAAGGAGAAGCTTTGCTACACGAGCTTAAAATATTAAAAGAACCACGAAATTGTTCAAAATTCAGAACTGCGTTCGGAAAAGCTATGCGTTCGTGGAAGGCGCGGACGAAATAACGTTCGCGCGCTCACGCCGCCCCTCAATTTATTACTGGGCCATTATGAGCTTTGCGCGTAGCAAATATTCTAGAGGGAAGGCGGGAAACTAAGCTTTAAATGAACACAGTGCAACGAGTGTAATGAACACATCTATAATATTTCTGAATTATTATTATTTAAATTATTTTGGTTTAAAAAAAAGATGTAGAGGGTCTGCATCTTTAATGACTGACTGCCTCGGTGGTGCACTGGTAGTGGTATGCGACTGCTGTGCTGAGGTCTCGGGTTCGATTCCCGGGCAAATATTGGTTTCGGAGTTTGGGTGTTTTCTATGTATGATACATATGTATTTACAAAAAATAAGTATTCTATCAGTCCATCTAGCTTTCATAGCACAAGCTCTGCTTAGTTGGAAACTAGATGGCGTTGTGTGTCAGAGACCGAAAAAAAAAGACCGAAAAATAGTAATTTACACTTAGCATAGATTTTATTAATAAGTATCAAAGTCCGATGAACTCTTATCTATAATATCTAGACACGAATATCTCGTTTTATAACACTAGTCATTGTTACTTATAATCCAGCTCAAAATATTTCAAGTTAGACCCGGCGTGTCATGAACTAATGCCGGACACACTGCAAATAACGATATTCTATGCTATTTCAGCCCGGGATTTAGAGCTGGGGGCCCGCTTCGTCCAGAGCGGCAGTTTCAGGGGGCACCAAAATCATAAAATAAGGTTTAAAAAAAAATCACGAAAAATGCCAACCATTATATATATTTGTAAGTATTTTTTTTAGTTATTTATCTCCAATGCTGAAGAGAGGGGGAGCTATTATTAACTTTCTGACCCCGTTCAAAAAACCATAGATCCGGGGCTGTACTATTCTAATGGGAATAAAGCAATATAGTCCCAAAAACAATGAATTCAAACTACTTTATCTCTTTTCCTGTAATGACTATGATTTTTGATACGAAACTAGTTATTTATCTAGGTTCTATGTGCTATGGTGCACCTGTCATGCTGTAGTGGGGGTTATGCGTCGCAAAATGTTACATAGCCAACTACTCGCACTCGAATCATCTTAGGGGCGCCACCTTTACCAGTTCTTTCTATCTGTTCGTGAGCGGTCAGACAGAGGATCACTGTGTCGCTCAATTTTTTATAGGTCATGGTAACTTTAAGAGCAAACTGCATTCATTTAAATAAGTCGATTCGTCATTGTGTCAATCACATCCTGATTCTAACTGTGAACAGTTCGATCATTATATCATCTTGGAATGTAATATAAAATTATGGTGAATAGCTTAGGTACAGGTGACAGTATACTGGGGCAGTATACTGTGAGGATCTTGTGTCAATTAGAGTGAATTTTTTGTATATTTGGGCGAATTTGCCATCCATATTAAATAAACCAAATATAGCTCATTAAGGACCCATAATATTTTGTATCCCTGGTGCTTCCCTGTTTGAAAGGGTGTAACTATGCCTATTTTAAATTTATTTTGTCTCCCGCTTTGCTAAAAAGGGAAGTAGATTTATTACATTTCCAACTCCTTCATTTCTCTTGTGATTAATTTAGTTGTTAGTTCCAAGACAGTTTTATTTTACTGAAACTTGCCGAGTATCGGAAAAATGTGTTCGAGGGTCACTGCTGTTGATCCTGGTGTACAGGAGTTACAGTGGTGCGCTTTTGGAAGGGATAAGCCCCATTAAAAAAAAGCAATTGTGTTGTAGCCCCAGATATACATCGGCCGGAGATACCGCTAATACGGCCTCACAGAAAACCGTTGTTGATTAATTTCTTCGCTGCTTCTCATATTCTCTAGCGACTCTTGAGTTGGAGGTGTCCATAAGTGGCGGTGGTCACTTATAATCAGGTGACCCGTCTGCTGTTTTGCCTCTCCATACCTACCATAGGAAAAAATAGTTGAATTGAAATTTAATCATTTTAAAAAGAAAGACTCGTGTATGGGTTTTCTTTTACCAATTGACAAATCGCCGACCAGTCACTGACTACAAAAGCCGACTATCCAGCTTTACCGACTAGTCGCCGACTAGACAGAACATCTCTATATTTATTTTCTAAATCTCATGATGGACGTCATAATTTTGAATTTCTTTTTACCAGGTCCACCAATTTATTTTATGTTGGAGCAGAAATATTTAGACCTTCGATGTTTGCATGTAATTTGTCAGATATCAGAAAATACATCTCCTTAATACTTAGGAGTGCATAGGTACATAAATCGGGTATTTTATACTTTAATAAATGCCTGTGATTAACGTCAAAAACCTATTCAGTCCAACTTAAAATAAAAGTTTTTAAAATAATCAACTATTTAACTAATCATTTTCTAAATAACAAACTGAGGTTTCATTTTATACTAGCTGTACTTTGCCACGCTTCGCTCTGGCATATTGTGATGGTATTGATAAGAAATGTGGAATAAAACTGACACGGAATGTAGATAAAACCCATCTTTGCAGCGGGTTGCAGAACTTTTTGAGTTTTTGAAGTTTACAAAAAACAACTTATTTTTATATAACAATACGATTAGATATACATAGATTACTGTCAAACTAGAGTTATATAAAATAAAACCTCCGTTTGTTATTTAGGATTAGTTTTAGAAATAAACATTTTATTTATCGAACATATTCGAACAATTACAAGTCTAAAAATAGTTTCTATGCATTGACAAGGATATTATGAAAGTGTTAAAAGAAAACTGTAAAGAATCAACTTTCTAACATCGACTATAAAGAAAAATAAATTATAAATGCACATAAGCGGCTACAAATAAATATATTAATTTTAAATACGTCTTTGTTTTAGGACGGTGATACCCAAACTGATCTTCAATTCCTCATCGACACCCCACATCTCTATGACGACTACGTCGTCGGTCGGACCCCATATAAACCTATTGAGTCAAAAAAATAAGCGGTGTTCTCAAAAAGGGCTCTAATATAATTATGTGATTTTAATTTCCACCTTACATCAATAAGTCCGGTAAAAATGTTGTTAGTTGAAAAACGTGATATTTATTACAAAGGGATGAAGGGGTGTAAGTTATTACAATGCGTTGCGGTGATTGTAAAATATCCACATTGCAAAATTCGTGTTATGGTTCTAATGTAAACACTCACCACACGTTTGACAGTTGACACAACAGAAGAAGAAGCAAATTTCGTGTATGTCAATCATGTTATATGACCACAACGCATTGTGGCAATGAAGAAAAGCTATACAAATTCTACGCTGGTATACATATTATGACGGATAGGTTATAACTTGTCAGCTCGAGTACAACCATGCGTTAAAACATCAGTATATTATTATGATATTTATTCATTTTTCTTTTATTTTTGAGAGTGCGTCTACATCAGTGCTAAATATGACTAATTTTTAATCATAACAAATATCTCATGCAATGGTTTTCAATTTACCAGTAAAATGTACTCAAAGCTTTTGCTATTAAGTGCGTTTTCTGTCTAGTTCTTGCTAAAGGATAACAATATTTTCTAAGGATATCTACTACAAAGTTTCAAGTCTAGCAGGACCCATATTTCAAAACAATGTTTTTAACACGTTTTTATTAGCTTGGTTTGTTCGTTAGTTAGTTTGTTAGTTTTTAATGAGAAAATAACCATCATTAATGACAAAAAAAGCAAAAATAAATTTTAATTTATAATAACAATAAAACACGCTTTTGTAACTAGCCGAATTAAAGGTTAGAAAATAATTTTCTATAAGTTTATTTATTTTTTATTTTTATTAAAAAGAAAAATCTTTTTTATCGTAAAAAAGCGTGGGGTGCTTTTCAAGATATAATATTATATTACGTTTAACAATATATAAATTTCTGATGGTATAACACTATTGCATTGGGCTAAACCTGTAATAATAGTTGTTTTAAAGGAAATAAATAAATAAATCTTTTAATAACATATTTACAATGATTGACATCTCTTACCTCACGCATTATTACGAAAAAATGATTTTTCTTTGGCGTTTGGCTAGAAACCTAACTTTTATAATAATAATAATATTTCGAAGATCTGACACACAACGCTATCTAGTTCTATGCAGAGCTTGTATTATGAAAACTAGATTGATTGATATAATACTTACTTTACTTACTTACTTACTTACGGTACTTTTTTTCTAAATACTTACATATTAAACATAGAAAACACCCAAACTCCGAAACAAATATTTTTCAGATCATACAAACATTTGGCCCGACCCGGGGATCGAACCCGGGACCTCAGTACAGCAGTCGCATTCGATACCACTGCACCACCGAGGTAGTTAAAATCAAAACTTTGATAAAGTTTTGTTTAGAAAATTTTAATCCCGAAGAAAAGAGAATTTGATTTTTTTCAAGAAGTTAATTTTCAGTTACAAATGACAAATTTAATATTATTGAAATATTATCCATAATTTCCTATACAAGTGGTCAACTAGACAAAAAACTTTGGCGACCTCTGCAAATCCAATCCTAAAATATTTATTCATCACCTCATTTTTGAGCTGCTTCCGCTTTTAATAATACATCTATTTGACTTTGTTGTATTTTTTTTGTGTAAGATTTATTTATGTCCGTGTAGTGACGGATTAAGAATACGAAATGTCACTACCCCAATCCATCCCGTGGGTGTCGTAAGAACCGACTAAGGGCGCAAAACAACGCAGGACACCAGCACTGCAAAAAGACGGAAAACTTGACACAAACCCTATACCAACCCGCCTGGCCAACGTGGTATAGTAGGCCAAAACCTTCTTTCTAAGGAGA